AAAACTATTTGTAATAATTAAACTACTAGTAGAATTCTTGCTACATGACATGTATGCGGTTCTACTGGTTCAATAATCCTTTTTACCCAGAAAATTAGGCTCTAATAAATGTGGGGCATTACTAAGATTGCCCATTCCAAATTAGATATAAGGTGTAGTGCTGGCAATGGGCGCCATTTGAATAGCACTTTATGAATAGCAAAGACAAGGAGACATATATCGCAAAATTTCAGTCTCCATCTGCTGAATCCTCTTCAGAGGGTTCCGAATTATTACGCGCAACCGGATTCTAATGTGGGTTAGTGAGCCTGGGGCCGACGATTCAACTTGGCTCCGCACAGATCAATATGTGCAAAACCAATATCCATTAAGTTTCGATTCCTCCATTAAGCGTCAATCCGTTACTACAAACCCGGCTGTTTACTCAACCGCGCCACGAGTTGAACCACACGAGGGCCTAAAATGGAAGTTGTACATTGAAATCTCTACTATGATCAAACACGTTGCTATCATCAAATGCTGGAAACTGCAGAAATTGATTGCAGTACGTGAATTTAACGTTGTTAAATAGCAGTAACGTTATACGGGCAGAAAACGAGCAAAGTAATTATTGGAAATTATGCAAAGTTCCACGCTGGATTTCATAAATCCGGCGCTTAATTTCGAACTAATTTGCAGCATCCTCAACTAAATACAAATAAAATATAAAGATTTTTTATCGAACGCAGAACGTTTGCTATCGATGGCTGACGACCCCCCAGTCGAATTCAGGCAGAAAAAATAGTATCACACAATTATTGTCAAAACACAATTTGTCTTACTTTTTTTTTTTAATAAAATAATGCAAGTTATCTCAGTACCTTAAGTTTTAACATTGTTCATTTGGGAAGGGTAGTCATTGGTACCAAGAAAAACGAAAATTCGAAAAATTTTTCTTATATCCTGCTTACGTGTGTATTAGAAAAGAGCAATAGTGGTGTTTACGTTAAACGTACTAAGGGCACTTTGTTTTGACAGGAACTGTTTTGGTGATCTGTTTATATGCCTCTTCGATGTTTTCAAATAAAGCAAGAAAAAGAGACGTTCATTGGTAATTTTACAATCCCGTTAGCTATAAGGAAAATAGTTCAGTATAATGCAAAATCGCTGAGGCCTGCGGGCGGTTAAAACACTGGCTTTTTTAGGACAAACGCTAGACCATGCAGCTTTACTATTACTATTGTCATCCCTACACGACCCTGTTGTGACAATCGTCTATCTTGCCGGACAGCCCGTTGTCGACCTTTGAAAATACATTTTTGCGAAATAGATCGAGCTCTGTAAAATGTATAGAAGCCAGGATAGTCTGGTACAAAATCGGGTATCTGTCAATAGACTTTAGTCATCGATTGTAGTATACAACATCTAGCCAAATTGGCAAGCATTAATTACTACTCATTTCTTCTTTAAATAGATATAAACATGCGCCAACAATCCAGTTGAAGTAAATGTCTTCGTCCGAAGTTCAGTACATAGAATCGACTAATACATAGCAGATTTTTTTGATTGGATTTCGGTACAGGCGTGAATGCACCGGGGGCATGTTACGTCCATCTATCAGCATAGCTGACGCGTAAATGACAAAATTCATAATTAATCAGTGCCAGAGATGTATTTTCGCTTCCATAGCTGTATTACGGTAGCACTATATCTGACGTCAGTTCGCCGAGGCTTTTTATATGCCTGCATACTTATGGGTAACGGACTTCATTCGTCCATAAGCGTGTAAACAGATTATCGACAGATATGAGAACATCGGTTCTATCACCATAATATCTACGATACGTTTACTGGGACAATAGAAACGAACAACCGGTGTGAAAAGAGCTTCATTATGAGATAACCCTTTCCTCCTGTTAACTCCTTCGGGTGGCAGGTCGAGACGACTTTGTTTGATAGGCAATAACATTTTGGGGTAATACACACGCCTTAGGTAACAATTCTTGCCGAACGCGCAAAGAACAAAGCTCTCTCAGTCGGTCATTCTCCATGAGCTCGGGTGCCGAAGTCACCACTCGTCGACCGATCAGCTTTTTGCTAATTCGCTATTCTGGACGCTGGCGTGCGGTTACTGGCGCACGATCCTGCGTCGATTGTGCCCACCCGAACAGGCGTTTACCCCTTTCGGTACTCTCTCATTGTTGATGCTTTATCGGCGCTCTTTGACGTTTGTTCGCGATCGTTGTCAGGTTTGCTTTTTCGACTGGAGAGCCTTATATTCTGTCGAGGCGGTACCTATTTTTACAGTATCCATTGCTGCTGCTCCCCAAGCCTGCAGTTGGCGTTGATCAGTTTGCTCGACGACGATGATGATGTTCATTGACTGACTAACTACTACTATTACTACTAGCACTTTCAGAATGACTCTTTTTACTTATACTGTCAATAAAAGTTCTACTAGTGAACTAGCACTTTAAGGAAAAAAGAAGAAGAAGGCGCGAGAGAGAGAAGGGGGGGATATCGGCAGGCGTTCCTTCCAACAGCTTCGACCAGCTATTCATTCTAGGCGCCTACGGCAGCCAAGCACGATGAGTACAACACGCAGGCAGAGGGCAGATATAGCGAACGAGCGAGCGAGCGACCCCCTAGCCGATTGAGAAATAGACAGACAACGCAGCAAACAGACAAACCAAACAGCAGCCTTATGCGTCCGGCAAATAGCGGCCTCTCGCCGTCCGTATAGTTAGAGAAAGAGGAAACCCAAAGAGACCCCCGTCCTTTGAGACGAACAACGGTTTGCTTATAGCTCAGCTAGCCATGTCTCTCTCTTGTCTGTACCTCTCGCTCTGTAATGTTCTCTTTCGTCACACACATGATCGTTTGTATGGTGCAGCAGCAGCAGCAGCAGCAGCAGCAGCAGTAGCGTCAGTCGACCAGCTAAACCCACTAGCGGACGGATGAATAGAGCGACAATCGACGGCAAAGGAGGAAGATTCCTAGCTAACGCGATCCTTGTTTGACTCATTGCGTTTGCACTATTCCATAGAGGCTGTACTTGCGGCAATTGCTGTTCTATTCGACACTTCAACGTATATAATGGTGAAAAGACGATTAAAATTATCACCAACGACATTATTATGAGTAACAGTGGCGGGTGTTTACTGTCTGCCTGTTCTAGTCTACTAATCAACATTTCTTACGCGTCTCTATGGCACATGCGCCAGGGAAAATTGTGCTGCTCCTACTGCTGCAAAAGAAACCATCTTCGAGTTTTTAGTGATGTATGTGCGTGTCTCTTGCCGAGCGTGACTGGACGTGTCCGCAATGACGACTAATATACCATTCCATATATAGTTAAAGCGTAGAAAGGTAGTGAACGGCATTAAGAAGCTATACGAACATCGAAAGAATCACCTGGTAACTTGCTCCCGTTTATGCTGGATAAGATGGTGAATAGACGGACCAATGTGGATCAATGTTCGGAATGGAGGTACTATGCAGTCGCCCCGGTACGTTATTTGTGTGTCAACAATAGGGGTATTGAAACAGTCCTGCGCGCAACGTTTACCCTCTCCTATCATAGAGCAGGCGACTTTAGCATCCCGCTGTACTCTCATAAATTGTACGAGTACATTTTGCTTGATAGTTGATTTTATCGTAATTTTACCCAACGCTTAATGCTATTCATCGCTCTTACTGGCCATCTACTGAACACTAAATACAAACAAGGGCTTTTTCTTCGAGAGGATCGAAAAATGGACCTTGGCGGCAACGTACGCGCGGCTTGTTGTAAATAGAGCTTACGGATGACCGAACACGAAAAGACGGCGACAAGCCAAATCGATTGGGAAACAGAATAAAAGTGATCAAGTTAGACGATCAAAAAGGTTTCGAAGGCTAGACCTAAGTAAGATTAGACGCTTTGCTGTCTGAGAGCAGTTACTTGGCTTATGGGCGTGAGGGTAATTTTGAACCTGATGAACCTGCAAATCTGTTCGTCGCCAAAGTATCCTCCCTGTTTTGACACTTTCGGTGCGGTTAATACATGTAAATTGTAAAACAGAAATATATATATAAGCGCATATAATAGTACTGTTTATTCACGTTTGTCCGTATAGTGCTATTAATCAATCGTAAAAGACAAAATGGCAGGTGCTGGAGGGGCTCTTTTACACTTGAGAGACAGCCTTTAAGGAGGGATCGCCCGAGTATTTCAGCTTAGGACCCTAGGACGATAAAGAATTAAGTGGAATAAATATCATTAAAATAAACGTTTACACATACTGCTAATTTACGCGCTTAGATAAATCCTTAATGACTCATCGAAGTTGTTTCTGGAAGGGCATTTGATGACTTCCCTAGCTTGATCACTAGGTTTGAAACGTAAGCGTTGACGAACTCCTTTGATTCACTCTGATTTGATTAGAAAAGTAAAAATATTTGTCTAATGATTTGTGTTAAGTTTCTGCAGTTATTTTCTTATGATACAGGAGCGTCGTACATTGTACGATTTATCTGATTTCTGCCTCTAGCTTCGTGTGTTTGGTTTCAATTAAGACCATTAACTCTGCCTACTTTTAAAAAGACGTCTTTAATCGGTTTTCCTACTACGAACAGTTAGATGTTGCAGCCATAGCTCGCGAAGCAACGCCTAAAAATCCGTATCGTCACTTCACTATGAACTGTGGTCCTTATTTATACCTACTCATTGTAGTATACCTTCGATAGTAGTCCAGCTCACTTGACATATCTGCTACTAATAGACTGGTATACAGAGGCCGCTAGTCTATCGTCGTGACATGCTAGTCTATGAAGTTATTGTAAATCCGTGCGTCTTTCTCTGCTGCCTAATAGGTATACGTAACTTCTAGCTAATCCGTTTGTTCTCGTCTAGCGTTTGCTGAGCGTATGTAGTTGAGCACAAACGTTTATCAACGATTGTATTTGTTTTTAGTAGCCATCTTTGAAAATTGTTTATTGGTACGCTTCGAAGTAACATTTTCTGTAATTTTCTTGCCTAGCCTACCATTCTTACGCCGGTTCACCAGCGGTCACGATCGGCTCCGGCTCGTGCCACAGCTACTGCGGACGATCCTTCCTTCACGCAAAATCAAGATGAGACCGATGAAATTGAAGGAGTGACGGTACTCGCAGATGATGATGTTAATAATGACGATGATGAGGTGGTCCACAAAGTCATCGTGTTGCCTACGCCGGAAGAACAACTTGCCCAGCTAACCAAGGAGTTCCCTCCGGCGATTATTGCCATAGACACCTCGGAGAAATCCTTCAATCGAATGGCCGCTATGAGGAAGTCGCTAATACATGTGAGTGCATAATAGTAATAATATACATATATAGCTGTTTGTTGTCGCGGTTGGTTTATTATTTTTTTCAACTATTGAGGATTTACGTAACCGAGTTGGATGGTGTGCCCAGCTACGCCCCCCGAGAGTCGAGGGTTCTAACAAAACGTATAGTTTATAAACGATTGGAAGTGACCTAAACCCATCTGTTAGCTAGAAGCAATTGTTTGAGAGAATATTCTTGCAGTTCATTCACTTAGTGAGCTCTCTTTATGCTTTATAATCCTTATATACTTATATATATATATATATATATATATATATATATATATATATATATATATAAACCTTTATAACATTCAACAGTCATGGATGAATATATGAGTACGTTTGGAGGGGCAAAATAGTTGGCGAGTTAACCTGCGGCTATTTAGAACGTAATAAAATGATCCGGCGCGTTTTTGAGTCAACATTACGACGATCATCAAACATTTCAACGTTGACAATCCGATTTGAGCTGCTGAAATATTGTAGCGCCTTCGTTAATGTTAGATTGTCCTTTGAAATACGAACTAAAAATTATACCATATATATATATATATATATATATACATATATATTGATTTATTACGATACGTAGTAATATAAATAAGTTAAACGTAGTTGCGTAAAATCATTGTCTCCTTTACGGTATAAAGGAAGCTCTATACATGACGCGTGTTTCCCTACGGACCCTACAAACACAAGACTGCAATGCCGCGTGGTGCTCAGATCACGTCATATCGAAAATGAGACTATGTATCTTCTATAACGTAAGACTATATAAAGTTTCTCGACCAGACATACGTATAGCTGGAGTCAAACTGCTTTTACTTATTAGCAGTTGAACCCATTGAGGCATCTCAAGTAGTATTTGAGATAATGACTCACGCCGCAATTTTTATACCAGCCACGTCGTCCTATTTTCAAGCCATAGCATTTTTTCGTGGCATAGGCTCTGGAAGTATATGGCGTCATCCTCAGTAGACTGTTATACATAAGACCTGCGTCGACTGCACCGAAATTTTTAGATGAGACTAGCGCCATTTTATTCGAATGCCAAAACAATTCCACTCGCAATATATTGCATGTCACTTACAAATAGACGCGCGTGAACGAGAACGCTGAGATCTATGCATTGTAGCGTCGAATGTTGTTGAAGTGTGGTCCTGCTTTTTTGTAATATGAAAAAAGGAGCCCGTTGCCTGGCAACGATGCTGTTGAGCTCAACAGCTTCCAAGTGAACGGACACCGCTTGCAAGACGGTCGTCGTTTGCACGCGCCATTGCGTCACTACATGTTCAGATAGGACCTGTTTATTAAATGAATGTGTCTCTTCCTCTCGCTCATATGCCTCTCACGTATAAGTACGTCCGTTCTATTATTTTCCCATACGGTATCAGGGCCTCCTCGATGTGTGCCCTGCTTCACTGGGCTGTAACATGCACAGTAGCGCTTTGTACGATTTCGTAATGACATTGTCGTTGTTATCTTTAGCTTCCGATTCTGCCAGTGCCTCATCCAATTCAGCGGAATGGCTCGTTTCGCCTGTTACCTTCTATGAAACAAGGGAATTAATTGTCGGCGACGATGACCCCGGTTTCATCTTCTCTCTGTCCCCTATGTCGATCCATCAGCGTTTTGCTACACAATATTTGTGTCAATCCGGATTAAATGAACAACTCTTTGCATTGACATCCCTGCAGCAGCGTGATTTCTTCTATTGCCAGTGCTGACATATCGTACTACTATATGGCCCCTTGGATATGTCATTCTCTTCAATTATCCGATGTCATCTTTAAGGCTGAGAAAATTGAGCCACAGAAAATTCGAACTTACGTTATGGAAGAGTTGTTTTAAGCAACGCCACGATGCGAGGACCACGATAGATTCCCGATATCCATGCAAAAGTTACTTTCTCACCTATTTCGACTATTGTTCTTTTTAATCATCTACAATTGGCTTTCATTCGTATTTTGTCCGGATCCGCGTTGATTACGTTCGCTACCGGCGAGATGACCCCACCTTTCCAAGATTAGTGTATTCCAACTCGAACCAATGCCACATTTGCACCGAAGCGAAAGAAAATTCGCGAACCACCGGGTCGGCAAACGGGTTTTGCGCGTAAGATTAGTCCAAAAGAGCTAACCCGGGCGAACCTGCACCGGTTGCCGTTGTTGACGACCCCGCAGCGTTTTGTCTACCGTTTCGTTCGCTTGACGCTAGTGAATATAACGAGCGCGCATATCACAGCTAGTTGAGAAGCAGCGTCTGCCAGAACCTGCCCCTCATTGTTCTCCTCTCCTAGACGAGTTGTTGGTATCGCAAAAAATGAACTGTAACCGACGCGTTAGGGAAGGATCAGCGATCTCACAAATAAAACGTTTCGTTATTTGAATGCCCCCCAGTGATAAGCCGGCACTGATTGGTAAAAGTCCATTGAAGCTTTAACGACGACGCCGTTAGGTAGCAGCCGTCACAATTACAGATATCGCTTACGATGTGTCTATTGTCTGTAGCGAACAAGCATTTTGTAGCAGAAAGTAGACGTCGAAGGATCAATCGATGGATTGATCGCCTTTGCGACAATGCCCCATCGTAACAAGTCGATTGAAGAAGAAGGAGGTGCTGGGCAACGGGAAGCCGAGGGCAATGAGCAAGTGGAAGAGCAAAACGAGATCGAATCGTTCTATAAAGGCAATAGGCATATTTTCAGTTGTCGCTTCTATTGTTGAATTCTAGTAGAAAAACTGATGGCTGTGCTAGGCATATGTCGTTGGCTATATTTATTTGGTTATTTAGGACAGTTATAGTAATTATCTCGCCATTGCTGCATTAGTAAGGACAGAAATAAGAAGAACAAGCCTCAACTCGTTGTACCGTGCGTATCGCTGCTGACGACTACCGCGAAATGTACGTCGATGTAAATATGGCGGCTGGACTAAAGCGTCGCTAAAAATCTTCGTACTAACAAAACAGAATTTGTCATATTTGCAGGTTGACTTCTTTATCCGGACCAAAAACCGCAAGAACAAAAAAGTCAAACGGTCAAATACGGTCTGCGATTCCTGCTCGCAGGGAGGTACCGTCCGCAGAAACAGCTGCGGGGTAAATGCCATCGGTGGGCAATTGAAGCTCAGTCACTCGTCGGTTCAGACTGATGGAAACGCTAACAATCCGCCCACCAGTGCAAACAACATAGGCGGTGGTGGGAGTAATCAACAACAACAATTAAAAGAGCGCACCAAACGAAGGTAAATTCATGACAATTTGCTAGCTGGAGTGCGCGAAACGTTGAGTCATCGCGGCTTACAAACTTTAATATTATATCTATTGATCCATATCAAATGCAATGAATAATTATATTTTACATCAGGAGACATGCAGTCACCATATAAGGGCGCTTCAGTTAGACGGAAACACATGCGGTTTGGTCTATTTATTTGAAGGGTCGTAGTAAATAGACTGAATACCGAATGGTGAGATAGGTAGTAAGGGAAAACAAGTATAGCTATTGTTGTTACCGTTTTGTGGCCATACAATCAATCTGGAAAGATCATTGACCTGCAGCCTTTCCGCTTCTAAAGAGCTCATTGGCAAGAAAGATCACTGATGGCGCTAACTATACGCATTGGCTACTTTCGAATCGGAACGTCGAAAACTGACGTAGACATACAGCGACCTCGTATGTATGGTTTTCCGTGAGTGGGTGCTTCGATTAACCCTTATATAATTATCATTAAACAATTTGGATCGATTTACTAAGGCTATACATATATACATTAGCTTTTATTTGGTTAGGTCCGATTCATGGTCATTAAAAACATCAATGCTTATTATTATCACCGAAATATAGAAAGAAACATTGGCGGCTGTTGCGAACTCCACACTCGTATGGCCAGCGGTTCATCGTCTGTCAGGATAGATGTATCAGACGATATCGGACTGACACAATGTGTACATAAACAATTATAAATGAGAATAATAGTTATCGTCAGGTACGACTAACCAAATATATGCAACAATGTTCGGTGTTCTGATGGCCATCTTTTCTCAGATCCGAGCGTCTCTCCGCGGGTTCAGTGAACGTTGTTAGCACCAGCGTCGCTGGAGCCGATTCATCCGGATCATCTCAGGATATTCCGACAACCCTTAAGAATGAAAAACGCATTTCGTTCTATGAAAAGTTGAAGCAGATGGGCCGACGCCGAGAGACATCAAAAGAGCGTAAGGACGAGAATAATAAGGACAAAGATCTCAGCAAGGATTCAGCAAAGGAACAACAGGTCGTTTCCGCTAATGGCGACGGTGTTAGTAACGTCGTCAGCCAAGAAGATACACAACGACAGCTTGAAACGCAGGAAAGCCAGCAACAACAAAAGGCAGGAGCCAAACTGCCAATATCATCGAACTCGCAGGCTATCAACGTTGCCGTGAAGCTTCGCGAGTCTTCATCTAGCAGACCGAGTGAGCAGGGTTAGTGCATACTAGGGGCTGGGAAAATGTCAACAGTAAGCATTAAGGTTATCGAGACTAGTGATAGCGACAACGGGTAAAGCTTGAAGGCTCCACACAGTCTTCTTCCGGGAAACAGTACACGACAGAGAAATATATTTTCGTCCTGGTGTTTCGAAGATGCAATGAATGCGTCGAGAATTCAAGATGTTAGACACAATTGTTTCTTTCATGTTTTCCTTATATAGATGTTATTTAATAGAACTTCGCAAAAAACTTTTTTATTTTGTAAAATACTTAAATTTTATTTACGTTTCTAAGTCTTCCCTTTGTAGCGTGGGGCTTTAACTAGCTTTCGCTATCTGCAACATCCATCAAACGTTCATCTTCCTCTATCTAGAATTTTAGGTCGGTGATTGTTCTTAGATTACTCTACCTGTGGGGAGACTATTTAGTAGAGAATCGCATCGAATCAAAACTACTTCATCTATCTTAGTAAGCTTTTACACGCTTTTCCTCTCTTCTGAGTGATTTAGCTTGACTAAATACCCAGTTTTCGCCTTATCCTTGTTAGAAGGAACTTCAGAAATGATCCGAAAAACTCAGCATATCTACCCTGCCAATGGAAGTGTAAACAATCGAAATCATATATGTGTTAACCCAATTGCAACCTGCCCCTTTGCTATTTCTAGGTGACCCACTTAGATAGATAATACGCCCCGTTATTGAATTTTTGAGGTTTTTATAGGAACTCGTTTAGCCGTTATGGATTGTCTACGTGTTATTATACCGTTAAACTAAGAGTCTCTAGAGTACCCATTTGTCCCATTCGAATTGACTCTCTTCACATCTGCCTACACGGGGTACCATAGCGTGAATTGGACATTGCTAATCGTTATAGCCCTCTCCTATGCATTGTGTTGTGCTGTATCGTTCTTAATTGGGATGGTGGTCTCTACGTGCCCAATGAAACACATTAAAGGAAGAGAAAGCAACGAGCTTGTTCTTTGAGGTCTCGACGGACTCCAAAATATATCCCTGGCAGATTGAAAAGAACACTTGTCTAAAGAACTGGCGCCTTCTTACACTTTAGCTAAAATGTAGGAACTGTTCAAGTGTTATCACTGCTTTTCCTGAATCTCTACAATATTTGGTAATATTTATTACTGTTATTATTTACAGACATTTTAAATGTTTTTATATAATACTTACTAATATGTATGTAGTAGAAAGATGCCTTTACATAGAGCATAAAGCTTACTCATGAGAATCTTCCAAACAGTTCACTTCAAGCCTTGTTCATGGTTAGGTTAGACTGAAAAGCCTGCTCTAACCTTCCCATCTACAATAATCTGCAGGACAATCCTCAAGCGGCCACTGGTCCGGGACATCATCAGGTGCCTCCACAAGAGCTTCTGACTACGATCGTGACGTCTCGCCGCCGACGGTACAGGATTCAACAGGAAGCTCAGGGCACGACCGAAGTGGTTCCTCCGTCGCTCCCATTAAAAAGTCCCCCTCTGAAAGCTCACTCGAAAAGGACTCAGCTCTATCCGACACAACACAGACCACTGATCGGTGAGTATTTGCGCGTTTATGCTTAGAATAAAGTCTCATTAAACTGGTTGATCCGTAAGGCTCTAGAAGATACACTATCCAAAGGAGATTTCATCTGTATTTTTATTCATTGAAAATTGAAGTTTTCAAAGCGTAACACGCTGTGCAGTTTACCGAAAGTTTTTTCGCGTTTTTCTGCGAGTTTTTTTTCTGGAAACGTTCACAAAATGATTGCCGTACGAAAGTAGGAAAGGATTTTAGATCAGCGAAACCCGGAGGCGCACCACATGCCAAATACCTCTAATTTTACGTATGTAACAACGAAAAAACTGAAACTGATATAGGATATATGCGATTCTAATTCATACGCTGACTCTTATATTGAACTGGAATAAATTTGTGATTGATAAAATTTCTGAACACCTTTAGGATAATCGATATAAACAAAAGAGATCACTGCCTAAGCAGGCTGAACAAAATTGCGTTTTGCGCCATCAGCATTAAAAACTGTCGAGTGAGATGAAAATGAAGCAGTTTATTGGAGGGATTATGGTCTCTGTTTTTTGGATAAACGCGATTGAATTCGAAACTACTCAAGAGGATCAGCCGTAGAGGAATACAGGCGATTACTATGCTCCCCGGCTGCGTGATCTGAACAGAGATTTGAAAAAAACCAGAGTCCTGATCAATGAGCCTTACACAGCTGCATATTTGCGATGGCCAAATCGAGAGCACTCAGGTCCGATATAATCGGGCTTCCGACCCTACGAGCACTTTCAGTGATAATTTTTCTGTGTAAGCATCTCAAGCAATACATTTTTCTTTTTCAAAATTTATTAACAATCAACGATCACAAACGAGTGAAAATTAAGTTGAATTTGTTGTGGCGACTATGAGCTGACGTCATCTGCAAACCGTGATCTGAAGTTGTAGGAAACAATTTCTACTTTTCCGAACAAAAATATGCCACTCGATTGGAGCAGGCATTTTCAACTTCTAGCTGGCTATACTAAATCATCGTAGAGCAATAATTTTTTTATTGAAAACTATTAATTTTTACTTGATTACTCAAATATATGACGCGCATTTCACATAAGGGCATTTTTGTCGTTAACGGACGTTCTTAGCTATTCTTCGACAGGAATAAACAAAAAATTGTGCTCTTGTTTTTATCGAGGCTGACAATGCTATGCCTTAGGCTATTTTATGTCCTTATCCGGTAATAAATCAATTAGCTTTTAACATCTGATGCATATACCGACCATATGACCTATTCTATTCATTCTAGAAATGCATATCCAATTATTATTTCATCATGCGTCTTACTAGATGGCCTAAAATTATGCAATTTAATCGTATGTCAGTCATATAGGTTGTCTATATATAGCTGTCATCATCTCGCCTTGCAAAACTAGCTAGTTGATCAATAAGGCTTAACTGCCTAACTTACTGTGTTGAAGTCCTGAATTTCAACCCTTACAGCCTTCTTTAAAATAGCAAAAAACACATATATGCATGAGTAAAGACCAGTGTACCGGCGACATAATGCGTCAGAATGATACTGTTATTTGCTAATATTATCACAATAGCAGCTAAAACTTATATAGAAACCTAATAATCATAACAGGTTAAAATAGTTCACTTAAAGCAAATTTAATTACTGTTGACATCATCAATGGCCTTGCCCTCTCTTTTGTTCACTGTTTGTAGCGCCCCCGCACGAATCCTTTCCCCTGTGCGACTAAAAGCAATACGCTCACCTCAGCGCCTTGGTCAACTCCGTAAGATTTCCACGTGCTCTGACGACGGCGAATCATCGACGTACTCCGTAGACACGGACGGTTACTACACGTCAATGCACACTGATTCTGGCGTACCACACCAAATACCGGAAAAACTTGTTGAGGTATGAATCACGATTGCTAGCAAGAAAATTACGTTGCACGGCATATTACCTCTTGTTTCAGAGTGTAGTGCTTCGAAAGTTCATTGTCTCAATGATGTGATCTAGCAGAAAGCATTTTCTTATGGTTTAACAGCTTAATAGCAACGCTACGTGGGAGTGTTCTCCTGCTATGGAACAGGGCTTGATCTTAAACGATTAATGCTATGTGGTGTACATTGGTTACTGATCTAGGAACCTGAACCATCGCCAGGAATTATGGTTCCTGCTGGCAGCGTTGTCGATTCGGGAGTGATGCTCGCCCGCCGCGCCTCACAGGGTTCTATTGACACAGCTAGTGTGAACAGTATCCTGTCAGCGTGCGACGCACAAGCTATCTTAGACGACGACGATCTCCACGACCTCAAAACCCTCACGCTCACCAGGGCTCGAATAAGTAAGGACGCAACGGCTGCAGCGGTATCGCATTTAGCTCAAAGTACACCGATGAAGTAAGTTTATGTCCTAGAGCTTCGTTTCTGTTAGGTTTCCCTTGGGGTAACTGCTTGCCCTGGTCATCTAAAAAATCGTTTGAACCATTTGAAACATTTTTTTTTACAACAACAAACAAATTACCAATTGACTCATCGCGTAGCGGATATTAAGTGTTGTATTAAATCCTTATTCGAATATTACTGACAGTAGATGTATGTCCATATAATATGCGTATGACGTCGCTGTTCGTGATGGTTTGATGTTTAGCCAGCCAAGACGCTGAACAAGGTATGCTGATTTTACTATGTCTGTATTACGCATTGTGTAGTCCTGATACATTAAGTCCATAGAAAAAGAGTGTTCATTAACAACGTCCGTTATTATCGATGTGATGTTGCTTTCGATGCAGGTCAAAGGACAAACCAAAGCCACCGCCGCCGCCGCGAACGTCGAGTGTTCTCTCTCCACTTCAAGGCACGTCTCTTATCAATCAGACGCCAAACGCCACTCTCTCTACAAATCAGGCAATGGCCAACAGCACCCGATCCGCACTGTCGGAAACAGATAATGAGGGTTTCATTATGAAAACCGCAATTAACGTTTATAGATACCCCTCAATCTGTGTTGTCAGTGGTTCCTCTGAAACGTCCGAAAGCAGCGACGAAACACGGAACCCCCTTGAGGTATCGCAAGTTTCATCGTTGTCTCCTATTAACAGCAGTGGAAAAGGAATACAGATATTGCAGTCGCCGACAACGCCGACGGCATTGCAACAACAAAAGCAGCAGCAGCAGCAAGTTCAGCAACATGAGACACTTCAAGGTGAGCTCCATGTGTTCCAGATCAAGAACGCCTTTCAACCTGTTGTCATGCATCCGACACGGCTAAGGTCCTTCTCGATCGACGAGAATGCTAACGAGAAACAACAAACACAAATGGATTCGCTTAATAATGAGATAGCGCAAGCCGGCATGGACCGCCTCAAGCAGTTGCATCAGCTGGAATCAGAGTACTCTAGTCTACCTCCGATGATGCATGTGGGTCAGGCTCAGATTCTGCGACTCGACACCGAGTCTTCCCAGCAACAGGCCGAGAGCGCCATGAAAACACAGGCCTCCTCATACCAAAGACTGTACCGGCCGACGAGCCTGCTGGCCAGGAAGTACGCGGATAAGGAATGGCTGACCGACGGTCCCATGTCACTCCCACTGGAACTTGTCTCAAACGAAGTTTCTCTGCGGAGGAGACAGTCCCCTGCTGTGATCTCGCCTACTCGTGGTATTCTATCTAGAAACTCGGAAATTCTTTCACAGTCGTCGCCAACTGACACGGAGACAAAGAGCTTGTCAGAGAGTCCTGTCGACAATAGTCCCTTGGGTATTCCACTTCCCCCTCCTCTCTCGTACCATCCGTCCATTCTCGACGAGGGTTCAGTTCGGGAGCCGTCGGTGGCGCAAAGTCCTGCTAAATCTCTGGAGGACACCTCAGGTTCCCAACAGGTAAAGTACTCAACCCTGTCGCTTGGACGCACCGCGCGAGTTTCTGATTTAATCAGATCGACTACATCAGCTACGATACCTCGATCGTTCAAACCGGCTGGCAACGAAGAAGGGGCCAATACACCGAACTCTGCCAATAGCTCAACTATCGCTAGAGTACTATTGCGTTCCGAGACGGAATCGCCAAGTATCTACGTATCTGCCACCCAAGATGCCCAAAGATATCAGAGGTAAATATCCATTTCCTTATTAATGGAACATGCCTGAGAAAATTTAAAAGCGCTTTTTATGCAAACGGCATACGGTCATAACCTAGATCTAGCAAAGTGTATTGCCTAAAATCGAAGTATAATTATCCAACGTGAACGTTTATCTCACAATGCATTACGGGATAATGATATGTCCTTTGTAGCTAAGCAGGCTCTGCATGGGATCTATTAGCTCTTTGATTTCATACTGATGACGCTCAGGTTCGAAGCAATTTATATCGTTGAAATGAAATATATGAGAGAGGAATTTTTGCGTCTCTGTGCGATCATCTTTCTAGCACACCAGTTAATTTTTATGTTTGACCATTATTCATATCTCTTCTTCTCATACTATTAGCCTGTCAGTATATACAAAGATTTTTTTTATTGATCCTATTGAAATTGGAGCAGGCTTTTATAGCTCGGTATATACTGAATGTTTTTGCTTACAGAACTACTACGACTAGCGTAGAAGCGTGTGACACTACTAGTGGCTCGGCAGTTATGGTGCGTCCTCCGTCCGCGGCATCCGAACGCTCGATGGGGGTTGAGGGTCGAGGCACCCCGCTGAACCATTTCTCACCAATCGCATCACCGCAACTAAATGCTCCTAGTCCCCTCGTACATCCAATTGCCGTCACCCCAGTCCAGAATCATAACCCTGTAAATAATCCCAGATCACGATCAGGTACTACGGCAATATCATCGTAATTATCGCCTGTAGTCGAATAGATGATATTTCAACCCTTAGAAGCAAAATGTTTATTTATTTTTTCTGCGAGCTTTGTCCCTCAGCGTTTGCCATAAGTAGTCAGCTATGTACATGAGTATATTGTCCGATACTAGTGTGCAATTGTAATCCTGCTTGGTTTCCTTGCAGGTATAGTCGATCTGGACCTAAATCTGGAGTCTTGTTATGTGCCACCGCCTCAGCCCGAGATGCCGACCCCCCCGAACAGACCTTCGCGGCCATCTAGCCTCTACGATGATAAGGTGTATGCCACGTTTCTTCCCGGACCCCACACACCTGTGGCCACTTATGTCCCAACGAAGCAGTACACACCACAAAACAACCCATCAAGCGTACCCTCCAATTATGCGGTGCCATTTGACACCCAACCACTGTCAAGACTTCATATGAAGGGATTCTCCCCGAACGAAAATTGCCTTCCATTGTGCAGCTCGGAGATGCCAACGAGTGTGGTAGGAAGCGGTAGGTCTCAGTATTTTAACAATGCAACATACCAAGCGCCCGCATCGCTATTGTTCGAGCGACCGGTGTATAGTAGTCCATACGGATATCAATCAGCTGTAGCAGACTCGAATCATTCTATCAGCGTCACTGGACAAACGCCTGCGGAGGCGGCGGTAACAATTGGCGCGACAGCGGCCACTAAACGAGACAAACTCGTCTGGTCGAATCCGCTCGCGAACTGCATGCCCCTAACGCGCGACCAAAATGCCGCTCCGCCCCCAGGCCCTTCGATCGAAACCTATGCACGAGACTACCATAAAGGTTCACCTTTCCTAGGCGAAACTCAGGTTGCCTTACAGCCGCAGCCCACCACGACGACGGATCTGAGTGACACGAGCCAGCAACATCACAGCCAACCGCGCGATAGAAGGTCATGGTCGGTGCAAAGTGAGAACCCTCCGCCGCAGCAAAGGGACGCGAGACGAGCCTCTCTAGCCAGCGATCGTCTGGGTCCCTGCAAGCCCACCTCGCTAACGGACTTTAAGCGTCTTCTGATTCAGACAAGGAGTCAGATGAATCCCGCTGGCGAGAGGAAGTCTGCCACAAAATTGCTCAAAATCGCCAAGCCGAACCCAAATTCCACGTTCTCTTCCACTGCGTCCGCATCGATGGGTGGAGGAGCCTCGTCGATTTCCGGTAGCGTCAAGCGAGGCGCGGGAATCAAGTTCAACTCAACAGGAATCGAGCCCATCCAAGAGGAAGTCGAAAATACACAGAATTCACCGGCTAAACTTTCTGTTGTTTAGCATAGCTGATACATACATTATGAACATAATGACAAATGGTAAAAATGGAAAATGTCACGTTATTTACAGTTACATCACAAAGTCAGCGTTAGTCGTAGGTAGCATCAGCAAAAGAATGAAGTAAATATATGACATCGTAAGAACGCACGAGTAAGAACCACCCTGTTTGTCCATTAAGTTGCATAAGTCATGAAAATAGAAGAAGATTAAGCAGTAACAATTAATACGAAACCGTCGTCGTCTGCAGAGTAAAAACCAAAAGCCCATTAGAAGTATTATTGCATCTCTGACGAGTTTTCTCATCAACTTACCACATACGAAAACTGCGACACATACGACAGGGAGCATGTCGAACTACGACAGTCTTGCCACTTTCGTCGTGGACTTAATTCCTATTCAATGCCAGTCAGCGACTCGATTATCTCACACTCAAGCAATTTGGCTTTCATCCTACGTTTTTTCAAAAATTAGGTTTGTCACCGGGTGTCGACACCGGCGTACCGTTATTGCCACTTTCGACAACCACCGACTTAGTTGATTCTAATGAATTGTCATACAATCATGATATACAAATCAGCTATTCCAGGCAAATGATGAAGCAGCCTCACTGTGAACCTACTCAGCTCGTGAGTTGTTTTCTCCTTAAAGTACACGAACCAATCCTTTTCTAGTAGCTATCGATCAGTCTCTTCGAGTTCCCGCTATCGTCCGCATACAGCGAGAGTAACGATTATATTCAAGCCAAGATCGATTGATTAACTATGGTCTGGTAGCGACAAACACCCTATTATCTCGCACTCTCTTTCTGTTCCGGTACTGTTGTAACGGGTACGTAAACACGACCACAAGCCAGCATCCCTGCATGCGTACGTACACGTGCAGAGCACGTTCAAGAGCAGAAATACACCCACCTGGTATTTGTGGTAGAGTCAGCTCTCATATTTAGCTTCATAAAAATTCATAGGTGCTATATTCATTTGGTGAAAAGCTCCGTCCGCTCATTTCACTTACAACTAAAACCACAACGAATAAAGACAGTTTCTTGGTTCTCGTTTCACGTGTAACTTCAGCTTACCTCGCTACCATCGAGACAAAAGACTCTCTTAGGTACAAAATTTGAATTCCCTTCCGGGAAGCCATTGACATGTTTCATCACCATCATTTCCATACACATTCCCGTTGATGGAAGCTAGCCAAAGTAAAGTAAACGCCGAAAAGGTCGTACTGACAAAAATGTACATCAAAATACAATATTTTACTACGCGGTAATTGATAGCAATACGTGCAGCAACCGTTGATGAGTATAAGAAAAAATTAGCGCGCAGTTTTGCAGGCAGAGGCCTGCAGGTCCCAGAGGCCGATGTACCAGGCGGGCATATGTACCCGAGTTATGGTGCTGTCGGCGACGAATGCTGAAGTAAGTCCTCCCTCGATTGACACCTTTGGCATTAATAATCCATTCGCCCCATTGAGACACGCCTGCTTCAAAGACGTACAATATTTTGTTAAGAAATGTTAGTTAAGGACGATATACTGCCATAGGTGTGGCTATACGACCCAAAATGACCTGAATCCCCAACAGAAGCTAATTGTTCTATATACAGATACAGAGTAGTAAACAGACACAGATTAATGCGCTGTTTGTAGCAAAGGGGTGTGTTTATTGAGAAATATGTCACAGTTTACAGTGGAGCTAGTTAGAGATCGAAAGCGTTTGCCGTAATCGTACGATGGCGTCAAATGTTAGTTCATAGATGTGATTTGTATTTATTAAAAAATCACATGGTAAAGAAAAGGACGAATGAGTAACAAATTAATCAATGAAACAATTGTACGCCTTTTAATTAATATTGTCTATGCGAACTCAAGTATATCAGGTTCGTACTAGTCTCTTGATTTACCAGCGAATTTATTCATTGTTACCGTTCAGAAGAGCATTTTTGAAAAATTCAATGATTTTTGCGTCCAGCTTGACGAGATGGGCTGTACGTAACAATTGTCTGGGTACGCTACGTGTTTCGTCGGGTCGAGTAACGACTAAATGCAATGCAACGGCTGAGGCATCTGTAGAATTTTGAGCGCGACTGAATAAAGGTAAACATACAAATATTGAGTAAAGTATGTGAATGTATTGCAAATTATATGGTAATACAAACAGATCAGCAACTAAAGGTTGTACATACTGTAATTTGGATAATATATTACTCCTCATGTAGATATAGAATGTGTATATCGTAACAACTGTAAGAGAAATATAAAAAAATTATTAAAGATGAAGGAGTCTGAAGAAAATAAAGTATTTTTAGTTTCAGCTCAAGAAAAAGACTGATATGATGTCCTTGTTTGTTGCTACTGGCTGCTGATCTAGATAGGCTGACGAATGCCCGTGGTGCGTGCAATTTCAAAGAGTGCAATGAGTGGAACCTTGTAAAAGTCATTATTGCGAGAATTTTATCAATTACGATGTTAAGGAATCAAAATGTGGGACACAAAGTAGCAATAGAACAGGGCCCTATGAGCAAATGGATAGTTACATATTAGTTATCTTGGACAACAGCACAGTTTCACGTTTTCGGGGCTGACAGAGCTTTGTAAAGACAAGATTTTTTCAGTCGGGCCGCGGAGCGTTGATACGTGAGCACCGCGTTAGCGTTAAACGCCGAAGCTTTCGTAAAGATGACATCACAGACATAAGCTAGGGAAATGGGTCGTTAAGTAAGAACGATTGCTTCGGTGAGAAGAGCAAGACAGAGGATGCCTTGTACACCAATACTGTAATACCTGAAGCCCAAAATTGGTTAATCTATAGCCAGCGATGGACTCTAAATGCAGACCTCGCATTTTCTTTCGTAATCGGGCAAACGCTAAAGGAGTCGAGTCGAGAAAAATTTGCAGATATTGTAAAGTGTCTCGTTTCCGATAAAACGGGGTATTTTGCTGAAATTCGAGAAATTTATACAGTTTGACTCACTGGTTAAGACAACGACAATTAATGCTCGGTACCGACAAAACTAGAGGGCCATATTTGTTTGCAGGGATCAGCTTTTACAGCATTTAAAAGCTGCAGCAGTAGGAAAAGATGGGCCAAGAACAGTTTTCTATTGAAGGCTCGTCACACATTTTTGCACTCCTGCACATATTTTCCAATGAATAATGAAGAACTCTCGTTGAATGAGAACGTCTGCTATCGCTAGAAACACAGTCCACCCTTTTTCGATATGATATCGCCAGTTAGCCGGAACGAAAAAAATAAATGTTGATTTACTCAAATTCTAGCAAAGCAGTGAATTTTATTCACTAAAAAAATACAACTTTGTTTGCTTCGGTATTTGGTTAGCTTTACTGATATTTAAGTGGTGCGATATTTATTAGCGGAGTGAGTTTGACGTAGACATTGATAGGTTATAATGATAATGGGCCTGTAATAGATCGTTTCAGATAGAATTCAAGAAGGGCCAATAATCGCATATATAATTGAAATATCTTTCATTGGCTTTAGTAGTTGATGTTTTCATTGCTGCTCCTACTTGGGATCCAATCGTCCCATCACGTGCAGAAGTACTAAGCTGAATACTTGTGTAAATTCCAACGCTTGGTATTCTTTGAACTATATGCAGGCTCAATTTTCTTTTAGCTTTCACGAACCACACTTTTACCGATAATCCCATTGTTTACATTCAATATGCCAAATTGACTTCAGTATCACGGAAACTTCAACACATGAGAAAAATCTAGTGGTAAATATACCTACTATTAACGAAATCGTGCTTCTCTACTGGCATAAAGCGAGCATCATTTTGTAGATGTAGAAATAGACACAAGTGCCATGGAATAGGTATCTTTGTCTATGTCTAATGTATGTACAATTATGCGTATGAAACTTAAGATAACGTAGAAACTGTGCTTTGTTTATTATTGTAAAGTTTATTGTCGGTGTTTTAATTATTAAATTGACCTGAATTATAAAAACTATTGAAATTGAGCGGAGTATTAACAATTCTTGTGAATCACGATTAATTTTAAGCGAAACCGTCTCCTCCAAACGAAAAAAACTGGGGTTCCTTCACAGAACTGAAATCTAATCAGTCTTTTGAAATGGACTGAGCAAAGACTGTCTTTGCGGAGTTCATGTATTCGCCGTTGTTCAATCATTTTGTTAAGAAATTATTTTATCTTTTTATTTTTATAGCATGCAACGGAAACACGAAACTCTACACGGCAATTGGTTCGGCGTCGGAAGTTTAGCAAAAAAAAAAGCCGGTGACAACTTTCAGAAGTTAGCGTTCGATACGCAGTTCTCACTGCTGACAAACTTTGGACCTCTTAACGGCCCAAACGAACATGAAAAGAAAAAATGGTCCGCTTGAAATTCTTCAGAAAACCCACTTCCATGATGCGCAAGGTCATATATAAATCATTCTACTTGCAACCAGGCCATCCGGCCATGGCAGGCAACACCCCATATGAAAGCTGCTAAATAGTTACGCTCAGATAAAAGAGCTTATTAATACAAACGATACGGGAAACTTGGACTTTTGAAAGTCCTAATTAGCACAGTTCGTGGTCAACAAGTTATTTTACGCGCAGGACTATACATCTCCGGTTAGCATTTGAAGATTCATCTTAATGAACATATAATTGTTCCTTGTGTTGTAAATGCTTCTTCTTGACGCATATACTTTTTTTTTTTTGTTTTAAAAAGCTTTTATAAAAGCTCATAAATTGCAGTATTTTGGGTGTTAACATCACAAGTTTGTTTGAAAGCGGCTGCCAGAAGATATCTAAAGTTCATTTAGATCGGGCTCACCAAGTTAGTCTATAAAATGTCTTAAATGTGGTATCATAAATCAGGTTACGGCAGATAACTGCTTTAGGGCTCATTTTTAAACAGAGTCTCATAAAGAAGGTAGCGCGTAAAAAGTACTGCTTAAATATCTTCGATTCCTAGAGGTTTTTGTCTCACCTAACTCCATCAGATGCTCGTAACTATTAAACAATTACAAAAGACGAGCGTTGGCTTGTTTTTTTCGACTTATGCGCACTGACACTCAAGGTAAATTACACTTTTGTTGTTGCTGCAGTATCCGACTTCTGGCTTGATACCAGCGAACCAATGTCCGTACCCAGATCAGATCTGCATACGTTACAATGATTCATCGCACTGTTGATTCTCCCTTTTAAGCTAGATAGTATCTCACAAAAACGAAAAAGCAAAAAAAAAGCTCTAAATCGTGGAGGTGCATTGTGAGAACACCACGGATAAGCGGCGCTAAGACGGTTAGCAGGATTCCCCGCGGCCTACTGTGTTATACCCAAAATAGCTGTAAATGACAAGGGATCAAAGGCATATTTCGTTGCCTAAGTCATCTATTTGCAGACAGTCGTGATGATAACAGTCAACTTTGCAACTTCACAGGTGAGAGCCTATTTGCAATACCAAATTATGACAGCCATTACGTCAGAATTGCGTTCATCCAGCTCGCAGACTACGGGCAACAGTTGAACGGTGCCGCGGTACTTCGAATCGCCTATTGACAGCAAATTGTCGCGAATGAATAAAGCACCCCAAAACGAAAAAAAAAAAAACGCAAAGGAACACTTCGTTGATAGGAGGCTTCACATCGATGATGGCCTTTGACCCTTTCAGGTGCTCGTATATACAAACAGAATATTGCAGACACTAGCGACATCAAGCTGTACCTATTTCTCCTATAAAATAAGATTAAATAGAATACATTTGAAATTCGCTGGAAATGTATTGTTATTGGAAATTTATTATAAACCAAAAATGCAGAAACGTTAGAAATCGTCACAAGTACTTTTTTGCCTTTGCAAAATCCCGCGCAATTTTAGTTTATTCTTTCAGACGCTGGTCTCAGGTTAGCCTATATGACTCTTGATAAACTCACTAAAAATGCTCAACGAATACATCACTAGCAGCTTTGATATGTGTTTATCTGCAAGTTTAAATAACTTCTTATCCATCTGGCAAGTTGGCTCCTACTAAGTTCTCCTTTCCCAACACGTTTATTTTATTCCTGTTTTCTACTTCTTATTGCTATTGCTATTCGTAAATACATTTTGGCCGTAAATATACAGGGCAGCCTTCATTCAAAACGATGTCTCCCTTCCAAAAACTGCTTCTGAATCTAAAAATACTTCATTTTCATCAAATAGCGATTTTCCCAGCATCCAAACATGGACTCTTTAATCAAACCATTGACTACCGAAATGCCGCGTGTCACAAAGGAAATACGGATAGTGAACATTCGTGGTAGCTATCGAAACGAAGGCGCTTTTTTAAATGGCCTTTTTTAAATAGATCTTTGATATTAGGTAGCTTCAATTAGGCGTGATCGTAATATCAAAAACAGAAAATAAACACAAAAGCATAATAATTGTTTAACTAAAAGTCTAAATGTATAACCTCACCAAATGTTTCATGCAGAACGTACCAGGCACCGCCGGACATTTCTGATGGCACCACAATAGTGCCATCGTTAAAATTTAAACGCTTCCGATTCGCATCTTTTTGACGCACAATGAACAGGTTACGTTTAGTAGGTAAGGACATTCATATGTAGGATTTAACGCTAAAAATTTTGAGAGAAATAAACATTTGACATTATCCGTTGTAATGTGCCCTGCTAGCACCTGGTAGATTTCCGTCCAGCAATTAAAAAACCAATACGAGTCTCATCTATTTATCTCGCTCAGTTGTCGCACGAACCCATCCCTACAAAATATGTACATATATGTATGTGTATATATATACAGTGTTATAAGGTATATTAATTGGATGTTGTGCAATTATGAACGGCCTATAAGGACACTCGTTGCCGTTTTGTACTTTCTGTCCCTACGCCTTTATTAGTTCTAGAAACATTACAATGTCACTTATGCAAGAAATTGATGTAACTAATTTACTTTTGACGATAGAACTCTTAGAGATGTTTTAGATGGTGATTATTTAGCAGCGCTGCTGACAGCAGCGAAACCATTATGCAGTGTAGGCAAACGGCTTGTTAGACAGGTAAACGATCAGTCGATTGCGGCCGATTTCGTTTAAAAATCCTAGAAACCTATCTAGAAATCCTAAAAAGAAGTTATCCTAAAATTTACATCTCGTATCCATGCGCAAGTTTCATCCTCCATCCAGTTTATCTATAATAATAGTTTTTTTTTGAAGCCGACAAGGGAGGACGATCAAAAGATATCATGTCTTTGAATATAGAGCGTATTAAATTGATTTACTAGTAAACACTAGTTCGACCAACGACGTAATCGACCGGTCTAGCGTGGCGAGTTTGGATTACTTCAATATGATTATCAGCTTTAGAAGGACACGCGTACAAGTTTCTTCACCTCATCTACGACGACACAAAACGAGCCGTTTCAGTATATTTAGTTATTCTTACGTTGTCCTTCCGGAACCTCCGAAGACCGCTCTTGCCCTGCTCTCATTTGGATCAGCACCGTTTGCCACGCAGTCATCTGACTTGTGGACGCTACAAATGACAGCAGCGCCGAGAATAGTTCGCCTTCTGCAACTAATCCCCTTAACACCGTTACTGTTTTACTACAACTGCTAGTGCTCGTTCAGCGGTTAAATATTCTTGTGAGTGGCCAATACTTTCATTGTTAGTAGTGAGCGAATAATCGGGACCAGTCGATTTAGCCGATGGAGAAGTTTATCTATAGACAAAAACTCACGTCGCGCTAGCCGAAGCAACATCCCCAGCCGCTGCCAGCGCTAGCTGCGGCCGGAGCCGTGAAGGCTCACGGCGCACTTTCTTCGGCGGCATAGTCCCCCGTTTAATCCTGTGGTTACGTAACAACAATGCTGACGTCGACGGCAGCGGCGTCAGAGGTGATGGGAGAGATAGTAGTGCGCGCAATAGACTGCTCGCACCGCTGCTGCCAAATCGTTCTATAGCGAATACCATCAGACACAACGATAGCGTCCAATAGCTACTGCAGCGGCGGCGACTCGAACAGCCGCCGAATAACGAGGGGGAGTCGAGCACTTAAGGTTGCGTTTGGCGTAACTGAAGTCAGTTTTTGACGGTTCGAATCGCGCGGTCTGTCTTCCCGTGTCAGGTGCGCCCCCTGTCCAGCGGCAGCTATCTTGTGGCAGCTCTAACAATTGCTGCAGTGCTAGTACTAGTACAACTGTCCCTACCGTCATTGTCGGAGTGCTCATAGGCGTGGGAGTAGGAACAGTACTGGAAGTAGCGGTGACAGTGGCGCCAGCAAGTCATCGGTCGTGCTTACTGTTCGTTGCTTCGCTCACATTTGTTTCTGCACCAGTGATTCGCTTCCAGCGAACGTGTAACTGTTTTCCAAAAATCCACATGTTCGCCTAGACTCGCTTGAGTAGAAGTGACACAACTGCGTGCTTAAAAGCCATTTTTATTGTCGCTGGCGTTTTTGAGTTACCACGTTCGCAGGCGTATTTGCGAAGAGCGTCACTTCTATTGGCCGAGTCCTTTAGGGTTAGGCTTATAACAAAGGCAACGTAAATATCAATTTTTTTTTTTTTAATACTTTGAGTGTACATGAATCTTTATATTGCACACCAAATCTGATTGGCCGAAGTACTTAGTGAGACTGCAAGCAATGTTGAGTCATAAGACGACGCTTGTTTCTGCCCGTAGGACCCAGGGTCACCGAGTGTACTTCCAGTACAGGGAGCTGTTTTTTCATAATTCTCCTAACCAAATAGTCTTGTAAATTCGGTCGTAATTAAACGCTTTACTGGCATTTATCATCATTTATCTTCGATGCCTGATCTAATCTGCCCTATCAGATTATGTGACCAGGCGTATAAATAGTACTACCTTTCAGATATACTTTGAAGACTAGACTAGACTAAGCACTACATATAATACACTGGTGATACATTAATTCATTGTTACAAACAGAGGCGATCAATTGGAACAAAGATGTCATACAGCCTGGGAGCGGAATCGCTTGGAGGAGTTAAAAGGTTCTCGTGGACCTCGTGGCTTCCACCTAAAGATCCACGCACGCAGAACTGGACGTTTATTGGCTCTCACAACTTGCCCCTTGTTCTGACAGTCGTGCTCGGATACTGCTATCTAGCGAAGGTAACTTCACGCACGCACGCACGCACGCACGCAAAACAAGCTTCGTCCAAAGTAAAACTCCGGCGACCTTATAGTCACAGCTGAAAGGACTAATTGTATGATATTTTTACAATGTCATTGTCATTTTTCTGAATACGTATCCGAATGATCTGACACATTTTCCATATCTTCACTAGCTTTTCGCAGCATTTAAAGACATTTCTTTTCAAGTGAGTGATGTTATGGCTCCAGAGTAATTGCTTTAGTAACTAATTTCTGTAACTTATGGGTAATGTATCTTCTGAGATATTAGACTCCATCCGATTTCACTATTACGAAGGTTCGCTTTTAGACTCAGTTTTGCTAACTTATCTATGCTTACCAAATCCCTATGATGCAGACACGCCCTGCTAAGCTCAAGCCAAGTAAGTGCCTTGTTCACAAGATACTCTTGAAGTCAGAAATAATAATGAATAATTAAAATGGATGTTTCTAAGTAGGACCCCAAACGAGATCTATTGAATAACCATTTTACCTTATGCAGGTGGCGGGCCCCCGTTTGATGGCAAAGCGCGAGGCGTTCAACGTAAAATCCGTCGTGCAGTTGTATAACGTATTAATGGTGGTGGCCAATCTGTATTTCATGATACAGTTTCTGCGGCACAGCTACCTAGGAGGCGGATACAACATTTTCTGCCAGGGTAGGTTTAAGAATGTTTTAACGACGTCAACAAAAGGCAATATCTATCTTGAGCCCTCGAACTTCTTTTAATTTCGTTCAGACGTAACTATGTTATAAGCGCTATGTCCCTATTTTGCAGAAATCATTAGTCTCTATTCCTTACCCTTTTTCATCAATGGTAATTTCCATGAATGGTATTACTAAGCTAGAACAAAATTACACCTCCTTCCGCACCCGAATCCTAGTTTCAAGGGCCTTTGGACTGCTATAGGGACAAATGTAGCGTAGCCGGCCAACCAAGAGCAAATCTGACCAACCAGATGTACCTTTCATTCAATGTGGGTAGTGTTCCCCGCAAATAATACGTCTATAAGAATCTGTCGAAGACAGTTTCCATGAAAAATAAACGCGATAGATACAAAAAAAATTTACTGTCACTTTTAGATGTAATCTATCATACTGGCCAAGGCAAAACCAAGCTAAATATGTTGATCGACCCATAATTATGGTCGATTAGGGCAATTGATACAGAAGGTTTTCACAATGCCTGGCCAGCTAGCACCCGCTCAGCGTCGATCTATCTACTGAGACGTTTTCGTACCATCGTCACGCTGCCACACTGGTAAATTGTCACGCGGATAGCGACGGAATGATACCGACGCCGGTCAGTGACATTCCCCCAGTCGGTATCGTTTCGTCATCATTTTTGATGTAGACGCCATGTGTGCCCTTGTATCACTCCTGTCGTTACTATTACGACATATATAGATGTTATGTTATATGTACACTGACGACGTTGGAGTGTTCATCTATGCCCAAAAGCTCGAACTCGATCCTGAATGTAGCGACGGTCGTCTGCTCCGCAATTCAATATATTACCATCATGCATTAGGAAGCACATCTGACCGTGCATAATTCAAGGCCAGCTAAACTGTTTTCATCGTAGAACACCTGTGCACACGTCCAGAGCCATATGTTCAATACAACTGTACGTATATACGCTGAGTGTTTTAGTACTCTTGAAGTTTACAAGCGGTCAAGTGGTTGGCAGAACCATTGATTTTACTTAGGCGGCCCGCTGGTACTGCGGTTGGTCGACTACTATAATAAGAGTCGTTGTGTCGGCTTATACTCCATTCAGGTAACGTTACCGCACACGCGAGTGTTTCTTTTAAGCAGATTTGGCTATTCGCTAATTACTGGCTCCGTTGAATACGAAGTAAGCTACAACCAAAATAATCCATCGAAGCTTTTTCTCTAAACAGTTTTATTTGTTCCCAGTCAAGCGAACGTTAGAAACGTGGCTTGAGCTATTCTATAAACTGTACAGTCATAACGTACGTTTGTATTACCATATGCACACACGTCTTTCTTTTTGACGACCGTCGGTAGCACGAGCTAATTATATAGTTAGTTGATAGGTATGAATCGACAAATAAACCAGTTGCTGTTAAAGTGCATGGCCCTATATGGCGGTAGTTGCTGCAGGGGTGGGCTAAGCCTTCCTACCCGAGTGATTGACTCATCCTACTATGATGACATAAACCGCAACATTAATTACTAGTCCCTTGACCTTAATGGCCATCCCCGCATAGGAACGTCAACAACATTGAAAGAATCTCAGTTGCGGCTTGTAGCGTCACTTGATTGATTATAGCGAAAAAGTTGAGAAACAAGTGCTTGTAATAAACATAACGCTACAATGCATCGTTGGAACCGCAGCTGGTTGGACCATTAAACCTTGACGGTCGGTCGTCCGAAACAGTCCTTCTTTTACCACTGATTCAAGGTCGTTCGTGCCGTCGGATAGTATTAGGAGCCGTACGCTCGCCTGCGTAAACAGCGTTTTGACGGTCATCTCAACGTAATGTAACACACCCATCGACAGATACTCCCACACAGACATTGACCGTTATTACTTTCTACAGTTACTTTCTTCGGGGCTTCTACCCTACTGACTATGTGATGAACTATTCGTAGGCAATGCGCCGAAGCCAGGCGCAGTGACGAAAACGTCAGCGTCATAGACACGTACAAGTAGACAATTTTCTCCCACCAGTCTTCAGCGAAAGCGGCGGCATCGTTCATGCGGTCAGAGAGTCGCTTTCAAACAGGGCATGCTACACTATGCGGCACAGAACCGCTGGGCACAATCAGCCGCTAGAGTTAACCAGACGGGGGCAACAGGACGAGCAGCGATCATACACTGTCTATCAAATAGTGAATTATTAAAAAAAGCCGAAACTACAAACGTCAACGCTGAAGTCAGTCGCCGCAGTATCGACAATAACATGCGTTCGCCTGCAGGTTCATACCTGGCGGCCTGCCTCCAAGCTTTTATCCTCAAAGGGGCAATTGTCGTCGTCGTCGTCGTCGTCGTTCGTGACCCTCTGATTGTGATCGATACGTCACAATTGCGCATTCCTCTGTCTACTTTCGTTGACGTTTTTTCGTATTTCTTAGTGTCTTTATTGGGAAGAATCAGCCGATTTGAATAAGAGGCGAGAACAGGTTATTTTTACGCAGCGAAACGAATCATCAGTTTTTCTCGTAGCGATTATGAAATCAACCTGCTTTTGCAATACTGCTTAATAGAAATCTAATCAATGGTGGCTGAGTTCAGTGATCTGAGTAACAACTTAGAAAGGGTATAATTGGCCATAGCAAATAGTACATAGAAAGGGTATAATATAATAATTGGCCATAGCAAACGTGAACTGTCCAATAGTTCAGTCCAATATAGGCGAGGCCTATATACGATGGAAAAGATACAAACGCAAACCCGAAATATTAGAAACACTCCCTTACGCTGGGGAAATTTTGCATTGGGTTTACATGAGGGCGTGCATACGTCCGAGTCCATGTTTCGAACGAAATTTCGGTGTCTCTTAATAAATACGAATAATTTGAAGCTCGTAGAGAGTTTTTTCAGTTTGTACACACAAGTATGAGAGATAGATATGAAATTCACCATGCGCCAATATTGAATGATGATTATGAGACTAATCGTGTGTGTATTATGAATCTTTTGTTGCATTCCATTTGTTGTTTCAGGTATGACGCACTCAACAGACGAAAACTCTATGTGCATCTTATCGTTGTGCTATTGGTATTTCTGGGTGAGGCTAGGAGACTTCCTTGACACGTTCTTCTTTTTGTTACGCAAAAAGTTCTCGCATATTACCACGTTACACTACACGCACCATGCCCTCGTTGTTTGGTCGGGCTGGGTATGGCTGTTGTACGGTGCCGATGGGCAAACCCTGCTGGGCTTGATCGTCAACTCTGGCATTCATGTTGTCATGTACACCTACTACTTCCTGGCTGCCCTCGGGCCACATATGCAGCCATACCTGTGGTGGAAACGGTACATTACAACTGCCCAGATCAGCCAGTTTATTTTTCTTATGATTCATATTTTAATTCCCCTTATTTATGATTGCGGTTATCCTAAGGGAATGATCTATCTGGCTTTTGCACAAGGCGTCATAGGATTGACACTGTTCATTAACTTCTATATTCAGTCATATATCCGAAAACCAAGGCTGTCTCACAAGGCTGAGCACGAAAAGACGGCCATTGCCCAAGAAGAAAAGAGGAGCGAGCGCGCAAAGACCAAAACTACCTAGTGCAGTCACAGTTGCTGGAGAAACTAGTCTTTGGCCGGGGCTGGATCCTGGCCACGTTTGCATTTGTATATCTGTTATTCTGTAAATACGTACTCCATGCGCCTGGTGATTGTGTGTTTAATGTTATGACAGGTTTTTGTATTTTTCATCAAATCAAAAAAATCAAACTACTGTAAAACTAAGCGTGTCATGCATGGCTGTGTCAACAAGTGTTTGTACGACAGTTAAGGATAGCTTAATTTTAAATAAATGTATACCAGCTATATATAGAATGATGGGCATGAATAACTGAACGTATCTGTGTCTGGATAAAATAAACGTTAACTATTGACTGGAAAGATTGTTTTTTTAGCAAGGTCGTGCAGAAGAAAGGATCACAGCGTTGAATTATTGATCAGCAGGGATATCGATCAAGCCAAAAAATATGTTAAAAATATAGATACTTTGTCCTGTGTTTCTTCTTTAGCTGTACATTGAATCATAGCTCTTAAGGTCCAATGATTCGCAAAGTTTTACCTTGCAGGAATCCAACGATTATAGCAGAATATGTATTTCATAATTCGGCAGCCAGTATGCTCATCCAGATGCATATCTGCGAAATCAACTTACAGACGCTTTCGATAAACACTTTATCTTATAAATATTTCTAAATAGTAACTTTCTAGTCACTCAAGTTCTGCAAAGCGTTGCGGTAGTTATTGTGCTTGCATGTATTATGTACGCTTATGGAAATATGAGATTTCCACATAGAAGGTATAAATTGAATGCAGTTTTATATGATCCATATGAAAATAACGGCTTCGGTTATTTTTGTCATCGAAAATGTCCTCGCAAGCCGTATCTGGGCATATGAGTTACAAAAACTTCGGATTTTTTTTTAAAAAGTCTCTATATATGCGTATTCTGTAGCTTACCGCTAGCCATTGCCTTTTGATAGAACATTCTAAATGTATCGATACGACACTCTGTGAATCATATTTTTTCAATTAATAGATAATTATATGAGAAGTCTACGCGAAATGACAATCAACACATGTTTACCTATTATGTGTGGTCTTCACTGCGATTTTTGTGTAATGTTTAGGTTATGAAGTGGCGTCCATACATCTCATACATCGGATGTCAGTGTGTGTTTTAGGGTGGATTAATAGATATCTCTGCGCTAAAGTCCTCCTAAGTATACATTAGCCCTGTAAGTGGGCAAACGACTTTCCCACGATATACTTTCCTCTGATATGCCCATCCTGAGCTGTCTGTCATTGTTACCAACCTTTACAGAAACAGGAAACGTCTGATGCTTAGATATAAAAGAACATGGCGTCCTTCACAGATTCGACGTATCCGAAAGAAATGCTGCGTAGGAAGGCGTTCTTTATGTGGATTTATCATGCGTGTCGAAATGATCTATGACCTTGAACTAATAATTCAGTTTCTTTTGATTGCTGAAGCTGTAAGCGTTTCAGTGCACTACATTGTAAATCTTTAACTACAGCCGATGTTGAAAAGCGTTGCTACAAGCAGCAGGCATGGACACTTCTTCATCCATGTGGTCGATCAATCAAATCGAGCCCAGTACATATGGTTCTTTGATCATGTTTTGCGTAGCGATCAAGATACCTCATAAAATAAAAAATCCTTCACCGGGACCCAACCAATCGAGCGAGTTTTTCGTACCCCTATTGTCTTCTATTTCTCACAGCTCTTAAGGCCTACCTGGAACTGAAATTCGTCAATATACATATAGGTTTTCCCGGTTAGAGCAAACTGTAAGTCACGAGCATAGTTGCCAGTCGAAAAAAAGGTCTCGAGTTGTACAACGGGAAATTTCAGGGGGTATTGAAGTTTTTCCTGTTGAATGATGGTTGAAGCTTGTTAGGGTCTGAAGTTGATTAACGGTTAGATTGTTTTACCCGAACATAAAAATAGGACACAATAAGCGGTAACTAACAGGAGCAGATGCGACCAATATAGTTTAGCTAAGGTAAGGACGTCTACTCAACTACTAATTTGATTATCGCTCGAACTGAAAGAAGTCAACCACTTAAAATGAGCTTAAAATAAAAAAAATATATATATATATTATCGGCCAGTAGTGACAAGTATTGCAGAGAGCAGCAGCGATTCGTCTGACTGTAGGCTCATTTAGGCATGGCAGCTCATCGAGCTGGGCATAATCCTTTCCAGTGAGCTCATCTAAACTATTCTCACTATATAAGATTACTATATGAAATATGTTAAAGAAGATATGTGAAACACAGTATAGTAAATATTGTAATAAATACGATACTTAGAAAAGCAATGTAGTCCACTTAGAGACACAGTAGCGCCATCGCCCGGTGTCCGTCCTTTGTGGAATTTGTGGAAAAAAAGGTGCTTTAAGTATGTAACGAACCTATTCATGAAGGATGGGATTCTTTCGTCTATTATAATGTTGTTCGACTCTCAATTTGTTGCTCCAAACGACTGGCAAATGCTTGTTTTTATACTCAGATTTAATAAGAATCATGGCGCTAGGATAATGACTGTGCCTGCTAAGACTGAGCAGATTCCTACGAGACCAAGTAACGATCAACGCAAATAAGCAGTAATCAAAACGATGGCTTAATTATCGGGGAGAAACAATCGTCTGAATGTTTGCTATTCACTGATTATATTTTCGCTACATCATAATGTATGGGCCTGCTAGCAACAGGTCATGTCGTGTTTGTTCGACTGTGATGGACATTTTCAGCGTGTCCGTCTCTTAGGTACGGAAATGTAGTTAGGTGTAAGCATTCTATCGCGATCTGTTTACTGACTTAACAGGCAGCCTTCTTTTCAGCCTACAGAGCGAGCAAAGTATGATTCGTGTCTGCTGGGATATTTGCCACCGTGGCTGCGGGCTCTGTCGAGTATAGGTCGTAGTGGTAGTAAAACACGATAGTAAAGTATCTGGAGCCATTTGCCTCAGATTGCTACATCTGTTATTAAAGATTCGGCCAATAAGGCTCACAGCCATACACTATCATGTCCCCGACCACAGACCGCAGCATCGAATGCGTAGGAATCTACGTCAGCAAATCTATATTTATATCTATAATAGTCGCTCAGTCACAGATTAGGTCACGTGGAAACCGGTCGTTTTGTATGTAGGTCGTGCAAGGTTACGCTGCCAGTACCGAAACCTCGTGAACTGCCAACTATAAAACTGAACCCTGAAGAGCCATTCATTGAAGACTGCCGCAGCCTCTAAATGAGAATAAGGACGCTAGTACATTCGCGGTGAGTGCATAGGGGTTAGCACACGACTGGGGGGGGGTAATCTTTCCGAACGGCTTATTTTACTAGCAGCGTTTTGTTGACAAATGATTACCGTCATTGGCACTCCGCATGAGAAACTAGTCGTTTGACCAGTAACATTGAATAAGGTTACCTGTCTTGAACGAAGTCTAAATATACCGATAAAGTAAATTGAAAGATGACGAATTTTAATAACGTGGACAGTCAGACCGGACCTGTTGGTAAGTTTTTACAATATGTTTAAGCTCACCACGGATTCTTACGACTATTATACATAGACCGATTTCACGAACTCAAACAAATATTTTATATTGTTATAATGTAACACGAACAGGAACAAATGGATGCAGTTCAGTCGAGAGTAAGTTAGATTGTGACGACGACGAACCTTTTGCCATTCCAAAAATAGATACAAAACTTAATTTCACTGCCCTGCGTAATACCCCCAGTCCCAACGATTATTTTCAACCCAGCTCATCATTTATTACTTCCTTATTTAATTACACCCTGGTGGTAAATCAATTTACATTCGTTCGGAGTATCGTATATGGTAGAAGTCGAACTCAGGCGTTTACATGTGCGAAGTCCTGAATTTAAAAAATTCAGGCTGTGGCACTGTTTTTCCCAGCATTTTCTAGCGTACAGGTTACTCCAATGATATGCCGAATTACAAATGATGATTTTATTGCTGTACGGATATACGAAGGATTGCTTCCAATATCAACGTCAAATAAAAACAGAAAATAACGTTTATGCTGACTGTTCGACATACACATATCATTGTTAAATTATAAAAATCAGTCTGGTAAAGCGACCTAGGTAAAAAAAAAAAAAAGTAACTAAGGAAAAGCACCGACTTACACAAAAGGCTCGACTGTGGGATCTCTAAGATATGATTCGTTTTTTTAGGGCAGTCATGCCCAAACCCGTGGTCAATATTTTTTCAGAAGTTCATTGTTAGGGCTTTTCTCGAAAGGGCTAAAATTGAGTAATAACGTATTCTGAAATTATTACTCTACGAAATAGTGCAACGACGCATAGAGTCTCAGTACAGACGACGAATTTATAACATACGGTCAGTCGTATGGCGAGATTCGTGTATATGACATTGGCAAACGGGTCTGTCGTTTATTGTACAGCAGTTTTGCTCAATATTAAATAAGTTTTTCTAATATTGCATACACTGTTCCGTGTTCACGCACAAAAGGAGGATGGCCCCACTTGCGTAATCATCACAACCGCAGCTGTTCGTATCGTCCAAACTACCGCGTTAGATTGTTGCCAACGGCAGGAGCAAAAAAACGCGTCAGGAAGAGCGACAGCGTCAACCGTGAGTCTTTTTCTTCGAATCACTATGGGAGCCAGCTCTCCTGGGACGTTGACGTTGTCCGAGTGACGCGTATATTGGTCTCTGGAGTTCTTGTTGGCTGAGTGTCCTTAGAATCCAATGGTCTAGTGTTGTTGAATCAGGCCGCTGTAAAGAACATCGCCTATGTTATTTGATTACCGGGAGAGGGAGATTTTGAATGTTGAGCAGTGGAATAGCTATGAGACGCAATGGGTGGCCAGTACTAGTCATTTCTGAATGATCGGCGGTTTTTGCTCGTAGCAGCGCCGCCGCTGGCGGTGACTGTGGTGATAATCGTCGCGACACAGATGAAACGCGAACCAGGTAAGCGAAGACTACAAGCAACAACGTCGCTGCAGTCTTTCAACTGCAGAAGCCATCAAGAAGACGTCACAGCATTCATCTTCAGTACAATTGGCAGCAAGCAGAAGTATCGATGACGTCGCCACTGCTGTTGGGTAAAACTGCTACGACAAACATCCGCAGTTCTGACGGTGGCCTTAGAGTTGCTCTGACGACGCTAGTAGCAGTTATAAGGAAATCAAAAACTGTTTCGGGGCAGAGTTAAGGCGACATAAATGTATCTTCACAACAGTAACACCCGCTACTACTACTACTTCTACCAACAACGACAGCAAGGCACCAAGAGGATCAAGACCGTGCGCTCACGAGAACATCGTTTTCTGCAAGAACACGAGTGCGTGAAGCCGTCGCGTGGGAAGGTTTACAAAACCGGACGTCGGGCTCGGTCAGACAAAGAACGGAGTCAGCATCCAGTGATTAATGCATCGAATTGACGTCCAATGCTCAGACCTGATACCACTACGGAGAATCGTTAAAGAGGGATATATTGCCATGTACAAACTGTCGTGCTGGTCGCTAACGAGAGTAGAATTACAGGGAATAAATAGGGCGCCAAAGTCGATGCTGTACATGAAAAACGTCTGATTCTGCAGACCAGAAGAGAGCGTCTACACAACTGACTGTGTTGTATGGGCGAGTTTGTGTGTGTGTGTGTGTTTCTAGATCTCTCCATTATGTGTTAATATGTGTTTATCTGATCAAATGGGTATACTGTGGAATAAGTTAAGGGCACTTATAATGGCTTGAGGATATCTTAACTACGCTGATTGGCTGACTACAATATTGACTAGTACGGAACCTCCAACGGTGGACACTACTGCGCACACATATAGAAACAATATTAAGGAACGTTCAGTTGGAGTTTCGTGTTGTCTATCCATTTCGTCGAGCAGAGATCATTATGTAAAATTAAACAAAGCCTAGTTTCCTTCATAGAGTGTGTACACTATGGCATGCTTCGCCATACTTCATAGAAAGCGTTAAGATCACGATCATTCATACTTTAGCGTGTATAGATCTGTGCAGTAATCCTTTCAAAGGTGGTGACCCCGACGCGACAAAAAGTTTCTCAAACGGAACAAGTTAATCCGAATTAGTACTGAGGTGCTTGCAAAGGGTTAAGTCGGCTAAGGCACGACTGCTGTTTACTCCAGAGGTAAGGATACTTTCTTATATTTAGGTCGCTCTTTGACGCTATATATATTTCATTATAACATTTAATCGTGCAACGTTTGTAGTTGGCGGTGCTATAGTATAAGACGTATTATTTCGTAGTTGGACCATTTGTGCATCTTGTTTTAACAAGGATCTCGTTAATTATCTTTCCATCTAAAAGTTTGTTTTCGTCAAGAGCAAATGCGGCTTTGGGCTGACATTTGACTAAATTTTTTACGTTTTTTCTATTGCAAATAGACCTCGAAAATGAGCTCGACCACAGCTTAATTAAGGCGTGCTCCCGATGGCTTGTCTATAAGCATGGGTACACCCCTTTTCTGTGACGCATTAGAGTCGAGTATATTTAGTTACATAGTGTTACTTGTACACATGTGACATATTATATTATCAGCTGATATCTGTAAACTTGTAGAGAAATAAAGTTGTTACACTTACGCGAATGTAATTGGAGGTGACGGATAGACGAGAGACTAACAACCCAACAGCCCAAAAGACCCAAGTTCTGTTTCGTTCATCACATGAAACAAGCTATACTGGCTAGGTTTATTTGTATAGATTTATGTGTACCTATAGAATTAAATATTATAGCATCGTAACCGAGATCCGATCAGTAAAATCGCTCCGGTATAGCTGTTTACCATGATTTGGGTGGTCGCTACCTTCGCTTGACTCTGCGAGAGATTATGAACTTTCGTTATCCAATACACAAATCCGTGATGAGATGCACGATCAGTGCTGATAGACAGGAGTTCTCTGAGCAGAAAAGTTTATTCCAGCAGACAAATGACTGAACAAACTGTACGTTGTGGCTCGTTAGAGTTTGACATCATCACAGCTCCCAAGTGACTATGTATATACTATTTAGTCTAAATTGTTACATTTTAGTAAAACAGACCTATATATTATAGGAAGTAATTTAGAAACAATGTTGAGCGTGCTATGTATGTAGCGTTTTGACCCTTGTTGGATTCGAAAAATTGGTCCTAAAACCGGCAAAGCACTCATAACATATGTTTAGTCATACGAATCGCCTGCCACAGGAAGTCTTGTGTTTCACGAAATTTTCTGTTAGAGTCCCACAAAAAACGGTCAGCCATTCGCTATTGCAGTTTTGTTACCAGGGTCTCTTAACTTCACAGTGCGCAGTCTATACCTCTATAAATGATCAAACTGCTAACGGACTGCTCTGTTGAGCGGCTGCTTGCTCATCTAAAACTCTGGCAAGAGAGAGCTATAGGTATGTGGTCAGAACGTGCGGCTGCCCAAGCGTTTGGCAGACTATCTAGAGTGAGTTAAACCAGCGGCTTCCTTGGACCATTAATAAGTAGATGCAAGACAGGCAGACTGTCAAGACAAGGTCAATTATTGGTAGGCCTGACGGTGGCACCTTTGATTGCCTAGCGCTTCGGCTGTATGCTCGATTGCTGAAAGGAATCATTTCGATTAATGGAAAGTGCTTATTCACAACGTACCTAATAACATACCTGCCATGATACGTAACGCGTTGCTACAGGCCCGTCGTTAAGGGCTCATGCCATAGAGTAGCAGAACGTCTATTAGGTACGAAATCGACAACACCGAGCTGTCGTCTTCTTCCTTAACAAGCGAATGCTTGATTATCGTGTAGTAAGCCTAAGATCAAATTGGATTTTGTGTCTGTGAACTCATTTTTAGGAAGTGCCGTCTGCATCAACACATTTTATACAGTGATCTGACCGCGGAAACACGATTCCTTTAAATATAGGCATCATTTGATTTTGAATAGAAACCAATTTCACCGGGAAAGGGCATACGTTCGATTGCAACGTGCGGTTCCTCAGTGCGTTGCTGCACGTTGAGATTTGGCTATAGAAAGAGTACGATCAAAACATACGTTGTTACAGAGTTTACCAGGAGTGGCTTTATCACGCAATACTCCAATACAACTGAAACGGCTATTAAAAGCAGCTGGATAAGATGAGTGACTACAGCGACCCTATCAACAATGAAAAATTTTGTAAGTAATATCTGTGCTATCCTAAAACTCACTTGAGCTTTTTTGCTATTATAGACCCCATTTTTCAGATAGGATTCAACATTGTCGTCCCCACTCGTCTATAGTGGGTGTCTGAAGAACTGAAGCCTACTTGACACGATGTTTATTTATGGGAATATCTTTTTATTATTTCTGGTTCTGTGCCTAATGACCACTATTAGATGATAAAGTCACGCTGAATTTTGAAAAACGTTCCTCACTTATTTTAATTCATTTCAACTGAAATGTTAGCCACGATCCCTACGTTACATGGTAACATTTAATGCTTTCGACAAATATGTCCTAAACATATTTTCTCAAGCTTCTATAATAAAACCTTTTGTCTTCGGAGATGACTCGTAATTCAACCGAAGCGGACATTGTTCGTGGCCTATTGAGCTTATAGTTGGGCTTGGATGGACATGGATGTCTTACGCTACCAAATTAAGAGACCAAATCAAGCATATAAAACATGATAGCAGATATGGCAACGCTACTATCATATCTTTCAGAGTCTGTTTATTTGTCCGCTCATCATTCTGATCGCGCCTCGAGTGGCGTTTTTCTTGGCGGAATATATATTTTGAAATTAATTCGGTCCTAAAATGTTAGTGTTATACCTTTGAAGGGCAAATGTCTGTTAGCCAGTGCATTTGTCATCACTAAAAAATGATTACGATGGACGCTTCCAGCAAGTTTTTCTAATGATTTTTTTTTATAAGTCCCGAAAAATAATTGTGTTGAAAAACGCTTTAGAAAATGAATTTCATAAAGCCACGTAGTGTTCAATACGACAGACCTATACGAAATGCGATTTTTTTCTATCCAATATTTGCTATAAAACAGGATTCTTAAGGACAACTAACATACATTTTGTCTGCAGTATAACTTCAGAATCGGTTACGGAAGTTCAGTGCTATGGCAGTATGAGTACCTAGCCCTTATTCTCGCATATCTCAATTTACTCAGAATGGCTTCGTTTGAATTTTAAGTAACAGACAACTCTATTTTTTTAATACTGATCTTGCTAGACGAAATAAATTTACGAATAGAAATCGAACAATGATGACAACTAGGGAGGTTCGAAATATATTCACTTAGGTTACTTTGTGAAACAATAATGGTATAGCACACACCCGTCGCAGGACCGCTAGGTCACGGCTATACATCATCGTAAAATTTTATTAATGCGGAATGAAACAATGCGTCGACGAGTTTTTTTTATAGAAATAACTTTACAAAGCAGATAAGTATTATAGTATCATGCTAACTGTGCGGTGACTTGCAGAAAACAGATTTGTACAAGTATATTTGTGGCCTAATGAATCCTCTACCTATATCTAGGCACCAAGCCCCGAGCTCCTCAGACAGGGCAAAAGTGATCGACACTAATGAACGTATTTTATGCAAATGTACGGCTGTTTTACTGTCAAAATGTAGATAACTCACATGAGACTGCCCTTCGATGGCTAACAGCACAATTAGCCCTCAACTCGTTTCTCCCTTGTGCTGCTATCGTTTAGATCGAGTCTTGGCGCTTTTTGGACCCCCTCTGCTTCTTTTACCAAAAGCCGGACAAAGCTCCGAATTTCTGAAACGCTTCTTGAAGTAACAAAAACCATTCTGTGTGGCATATTCTATTATTGAAACTAGTCTTACGGAAATCACATACACTGACCTGATCAGACTGATTAACAGCAACGCTTCATCAATGGCTGACATCCATCTGCCATAACTTTAAGAATGTAAAAATACATGTTTATTACTCGGGATGCTTACATGTCGTGTCCATTATTCAAGACGGTGGAGCATTTCAATGGCACAAATATATCAAAGTTATATTTGAGGCATAGCGCAGCATTAAGATGCTCTCGAACCACTATAATTATGTCGCAGGCATGGCTTTTAAGTAAGTAGAAACTGCATTGGTTTTATTCATCTATTTAATATATTGGGTATATAATAAGAATATATTGGGTAGGTGCGAATACTTACAATCATCTATTTAATGTCGTACAGGTACAAACGACTGTAATATAAGTAGTAATTTTAAAAGAAGCCAAATTGTCTGTCTCCAGATGGCACCTCCGCAACCCACTCTTCAAATATTATAGTTAGATGTTGTTGTTGAGAGCGTTACCCATAGGCGAAATTATCTAGAAAGTTTGTTTTAGCCAATTCTTAGTTAAGTAAGGTGCTACCCTTTATTACGTTGCATCATTACGTGCACAATACAGGTTATCTTGAGCTGCGCAAGGAGGAACTGCAGAGGATTAACAAAATAGCCACTACGGACCTGGAAAATAGTTGTTTCTTTAATTAAAAGAAACGTTTAGGACGACTCACCGAGGGAAAGCTAGGAAGCCACTATGTAACTGAGTGCTCTAGATTGATATGACGCGCGGGAATGTTTGCTAAGAATATCGTTTTAAAAAAGGCCATAGGATAAATACGAGCGATATCGGTGACACAATGAGTATTGTTGGATACTCGTTCTGATCACACCGTTGCTAGAACGCGCACCTACTGAAAAATGGATATTGGCTTCTTTGATCTATGATACGTATATTCGAGTGATTCTTTTTGCGAACCACAACTTCGTGTTTCGTATCAGAACGTTTAATTCAAAACAGCGTTAAACAAAGCGTTGAAAAGATTGACGTTTGTGAATTCAAAAGAGAACCCGAAATGGCCGTTTTGATAGAAACTTCAATTACGTACGCGGCCTTTGTTTTAATAGTTGGTGGTGTCATAATTTTTAACGCTTTCAGAGAACATTCTAATGCAATAAGTACGTGGCGCTTAACTGAATGTCATGTGTATTTCTAAATACAGAGCCATTCTGCGAAGCTTTATGAAGTACGGACCATATGGGTAGGAGTGTATGGGTTCACCGTTGCTATGAAATGAAGTTTGTGACCATTTTGGGTATAGCCTAAATGGAAGCTATCATTGACCCTTTACGGCATTTCGAAATTTGTTATTCCACTGGATAGTCTGCTGATCTATACGTAGTATTTCTAGCTTCAGATAGCTTAGTTTAGTATGTGAGCATAACGATACATGATTTCGATATAGATATTTGTCAGTAGCATAAAGTTACGAGTGAATTATACTCTATCCTTTTACTCCTTCTGCTTAATAGCGAATACTCAAAAAAGAAGAATGTAATTCCTCGGACTCAAGAACGACCCTCATTTCGACTCTTCTATACCTCGTTTTGACTTCCTAGCACAACGCCTCGATGCTACCGCTGTGACTTTCCGAGGCGCCTATACCTGCGTTGCTTCTAGACGATCCTCGGACAAACTTACCGATGAATATACAAATTGATATCTTTAAAAGCATAGCAATTCATCTACTTTATTAGTACATCAGAAAATTATGTTTTAGTAGTATATCGCCTAAATTTACGCTTTAATTTATTTGATTACTTGCAGTTTAAGAGAAAGCGCTCTAAGGTGGCCCAGATTTACCCATTGACGATAATGGACGGGGCCACCGAGGGCGGCGATTGCGCACCAGTCGCTGACGAACAAGCAAGATCTTCATCTCGACAAGGCAATTTTGGTAGATCCAACGAAAAAACTTCTGATCAGGCAAACGAAAGTCGCAGTTCCTCCAGGTGGGCCGCTCTGAGAAACCGCGCCAGGGCGCAGCAGCAACAACAGCGACAACAAAAAAATAGTCAAACCCTTAATAACACTGTACTTAGGGTATGTTTGTCTGTTTTGATTGGTAGCTGCGGATGATTTGCTTGAATAAGAAGCAGGAAGCTAAAACGATATTTTTAGCTAGCATTTTCATAAATGATGGACTCTCCATTTTGCTTTCTGATGGCCAAAGGAGGATGACACCCTCGACGATTCGATCCACGGTCGCTATGATGAATGGACTCCTGAAGCCTGCATTTGCATCTTGCGCACACCAACTGTTGAGAACTTCGCTGGCCTCAAGGTACACTTTAGGGTAATGTTTATTTATTTATTCGTTGGCTACAACTATGAGACGGCGCAGTACTCTATCGCAAGCTACAATGAAGTTCCTATACAGGTCCACTGCTGCATCACAGTGTCTTTTTCTCTTCAAGAAATTATTGTCCCGCTGCAACGCGTCATGGATGCATGAGTTCTTGTCCCGCGACGGACTCGAGGCGCTCTTCGCCAGCTTGCAGCGATTTGGCCGAAAAACACCCGCATCTCTTGAAACTGCCCTGGTGCTGATTCACTGCGTCGAGTGTCTACGGGCCGTAATGAACTGCAAGACCGGTCTGGATCATATCGTCGAGAATGAACGATATACCCGAGAGCTTGTTCAAGGTGTCCATTTTGAAATCTTTTTTTTTTTTTTAGAAATGCACTATACAGCAAGAATAAGTAGAAAAAAAATGTGTAAATAGAAATGTACGTCAAGGATAAGTGAACACAACGATTGTGGAAGTTAGACAAAGTCAGAATAGCATATAACCGCAAAAATGACTATTCTTCTTTTAAACCTTTGATAGTTCAAATCATCTGCCTTTAAAACCCTATTTCAAACTTGGTCTTCTCCCTAATTGGTTGCTATTCAATAACTTCTCGTTCGTAAATCAGACAAAAGGCTCTTTTTAGTTCTTGTACCGCTTACGAATGCTAGTTATGAGAAAAAATTACTGGCAAGCTAAAAAAAATGCTACCTAATTTTACACATAGGTGCGTCATGTATTTTCGTATGGAAAAAGGTGTATTTTGGTCTTGTGAATCCAATTTACAGCGCTTTTAATAATATAAGCTACTACAAATATTGACTTAATGACTCAAAATTATCAATTTCTGCGAACGTTGCATGTGTTATTAATGAGAAATGGCCGATTGCTATGTTTTTAGGACTTAACTAAAACCCAATGACGAATATGGCCAGTTTGATTGAATACGCATTTGTATGAGAAGAATACATTCCATCTGATAAGAGAACGGATAATAATAACAAAAATAATATAGTGAAGTGTCCGTAGCAGGTGCACTTCATCAATGTCTGATGAATGTTGACATTGCGTAACCGAAGTTATGCAAAAAAGCTGCTGCCCACAGATGAAGACCACTCATGAATAGCTGATGCATCGGCGAGGAAAAATGTCGTAGAAAGGGTTATGTGACTGCGCGAACTGTTCAGAACAGCATTCTGGATTTTTCTCTACTGGTGGCCCAGAAAAAAACGGCGTTCGGATGGGTGTAAAGAAAATGCAACTTCAAAAGCTGACATCATACGTTGACAGAATTTGAAAGGTTGCTCGATGATAATGAGGGTCAATAGCAGCTCTGATGTCATCACAAGTCTAGCCTTCATGACAGCGTATACCATAATGAAATCCTTGTAATCGAAGCTTAGCTGAGGTGTGTTTTGAATGAGGCGGTGCGGGCGCAAACAAACCGAATATTAATTGGCTCCTAATGAAGTACACTCATACTACAACGCTAGCTTCGCCAGATTTAAGCCAACCTTCTCCTTTCTTTATGTTAGCTTTATTTTTCGATGATACTATTACGAAATTATCTGAATTTGTAATATGCACAGCATGCAGCTTTTACATTGACTTCATCAGCACATTAGCGCCATTTGATAATTAGGCTTCGCAGGAGTATTGTGTATCAAATGGATACACTGTACGTGCGTGGACATACATACGCGTATAGCTTTCATATAGGATCGTTTTCTGGAAACAAAGTAAACATGTTTGAACGCGTTGAATAGGTAAAATAGGAAGCATTGTTCCCTGTCATCTCAAGTAACGGGATGTCTTTGGTGAACTGGTAAGCGACCAATAGCACCCTTTAGTAGCATTTAGAGGACAAAAAATAACGTGACAGGATATCATTGTAGTGGAGTAAACGGATTACATATCGTTTTTACGCTAAACAAAATAAATGTCAGATATTTTAGCTGAGTAAATGTTTAATGTTACAAAACTGCATATGTTATTTCGATGGACCGCCAGACGTTGTGTGTTGGTGATTGCGCATACTACCTTTACGCAAGGCAAATCAGAGCTAAATAGAATCTCGCTTCTGTCGGAAATAGACCCACAGTGGTAAGAAAAGACATTTTCCTTTGGCTGCCTTCCACTGACCATTTGACACAGCAACAGAAATGTCCACTCAAGAAGCTGTAGAGACATGACAATAACAACTTCCCTTGAATAAAAATAGTTTTTCACTATAGCACGTAATAACACCAACGAACGACCGCAGCTTGATTTTTGACGAAACAAAACTATTTACAAATCGAATATTTTCTAGAGCTCTGGAATAGAAAGCTATGTGAAGGCAATCTGCTGTTTTAACTATTGGGTGCTACCATATTTAACGCCTCGACGAAAGTACTTAAGACATGGGTACCACAGCAGAATTACAACGCCGGAATAGGAAAGATCGTAATTACGGAAGAGAAGAGAGAAATATTACCGGATTAAGAAGCCATGTGTTAATATAATGGAGGCATTATCAGCCCTTGCGCGTGCCTTAGGTTGGTGTTGGAACTCTGTTTTCATTCTTACAGTAAGCTCTACGAAAGCCCAAAGCCACATGAAGAGAGCAACGTGTACTTACCGAACGCGGGCTCCATAGCTGATTTCTGCGCTAAGTCGAGCCCAGGCTGGTACTCAAAAGAGGCCAGATGTAAAATTTTTCCGGAAATATTCTGTTTAATAATAGGCACAATGGATAACAATCACGTTGGCCAACACTCAAGCAGGAGCCACCGGGGAGAAATTGCAAACACAGCCATCAATTGGCGTATTTCACCATAACAGGATTAACTTGAAGTGCAGCTAGGCCATATCATATAGTAAATGAAAGTAGGCTATTTAATTTAATTTCAGCTCTGTCAACGGATAATGTCTTGGTGAAAAAACAGGTTTTTGAGTTGCTTAGCGCTGTGTGTGTATACTCGTTCCGTGGACATCATTTAGCCGTCGACGCACTCCAGCACTACAAGGTACGCAAACGCATACTCACGCAAACACTAATAACACCCTTAGTCTCTATGGCGATCGAGCACGTAATTGTTTTATTCCTAAAATCGCGAATTATCGGTTACCTCTTCTAACAACTCAGAAAAAAGGAGAGGAAGGAAAAATCCGTCTCATAAGGATCATGCATTTCGTGTTAGTCGCTGCCTGTAAAAATTTAGTGCGTCAATAGACTCAATGTGAAACTATATTAGCTGATGATAAATTGACTCAAAGCTAGGACATCTTATCTTAGAAAGAGGTCCTTAAGATTACGAAATATATATTTGCCATGAAGACGTATTGAAATCTTAATAGCACAAATAATGTCATTTGTTAGTTTGACAAGCTGAGTCGTATTCGAAGCAAGTTAATCGTCCTGGTGGTTATCGTGAAACAGGAACGCCATGGACTTTTATCACGTTTCTCACCGCTGGTTGAGGAGTTGAAAAATTCCGAGGTTCCGGCGTACCAGGGCACAGTCTTGGCGCTCATCAATTGTGTAATTATTTCCTGTGACGGTCTACTGGAGAAGATACGCATTCGCAATGAGTTTATTGGTAGGCAATTAGATTTACAACCGGAAAACATAAAATGAATAACACACACTGGTGTGCAACGATTGAACAATGATTTCTCTCAAATTACTGTTTCTACCGCACGCAGAGCTTTTTTACAATTAAAGACTATAAGTATGATTGGCTGTTTTCGCTTTCAGCGCTAGGAGTGGCGGACGAGCTGAAAAAGATTTCATCAACAAGTGATGATCACACTGTCTTTGTTCAGGTTAGATGATTGATTGATGGACTTTGGATGATGATTGATTGATGCAATTGCTTTATCGCTGCTTCCGGTTATGTAGGTTCCAGGAATCTGTCCCCATGATAGCTTAGTGCCCCCTAATCTTAGGGGCGTTGTGGTCAAGGTTGGAACCCGGGCATAGACAAACTTCGTTTCATGCTGGGGGCCAGCCGTCTGATGGAATGCCTAACGGCGATACTAGGCGTAATAGAGCTTGCATGATATTGAAGTCATACGTATCTTGCTTGCTTGTACGCGTGCAGGTCTTTCTTGGCTGATCATGACTATTTTCTTTTTTGACTGACAGATTCGAGCGTTTGAGAATGAACGCGCAGCGGATGAAGATGCCGCCCGTGAAAAACTCGGACTTACGCTGAGTATGGAGCCCATAGAGCTATTTGGAGGCCTTTTAGAAAAAGTAAGTACTGCATTACACCACACAATATTGAAATGTCCTAGCGCTCCCTGGCAATGATCAGCTAACGCATTACATGATCACCGCATGAATCATTTGTTTTAGCCTTCGGCTGTAGAAGGCTTCTGTTTTGAGCTCTGACAAGCTTGGGATTTGTGAGCTCGATGTTTATAAATAAAATCATTAATACTAAATGTATTCACTTGCCTTTTAGGAATAAAAAATAAAAAAACATGGGTCGAAAATTGTCGTTTGTAAATTATAAACGATAAAAAACAACTCCAAAAGCTTGGGCCTTTACTAAGTAACTTTCATGTACGGCACAAACCTTGCTCTTTTTCACTGATTCATAACACATCTATTGTTTTATAAAAATTATCGAATATCAAGCTAAAAAACAACTGTGATTTTAAGTACCTTCGTTCACGTTTTGCCCACATATGCCAATTTATTATTTGAGGTGTTTTTTTTTTAGTTTCGGATATACAAATAATATGCGTCTTGTTTCGATACTAAAGAACTTTGTATTTCCATAGGTTTCGTCAACACCACACGTTTCCTGTTTAGCTCTGACACTTCAACACCTTAATCAATTGGACCCTCACCACCCTGATAGGTAAAAGCGCGTTACACGACAGATCCTACTGCGAATAATATATAGCAACACTTTTTAGTATTACTTAGGTTCCGGGTTAGCAATTATGCAATTTAAGTAACACATTATTCGTATTTTAGTTTCTTGGCATGGGATTTATTGGAACGCGTATCGTCCATATTAGCGAGAATACCGAATGACCCCATATTGGCCCAGACTACCTATCAGCGTCTACTAGATTTTTTGACCTCTAAGGACGCATATCCTAATCGAACAGCAAGTGTTCAAGGTCGCGAAACCCCGATTCTAAGTCCATTGCCCGATCCAAAGGAACACAAAAAAAATGGCCTAACAGAGGAAACGAGTTCGACAGAAAAACCAAAAAAGCGTAACGTATTTCGTTATCTTAGCCGTAAAGCTAGCTTTAAACTGCGTATTCGAAAAAAGGATCCACCGAAGGAAGAGTGTGCTATTAAGCAAGAACTACTTACGCCGCCTACAACACCGCCACTCAGTTCACTCGATATTCCGACATCCAGTTCCGAAATTAATGCAGTTGAGGAGGAAAGTTTATCATTTGCGCAAGAGGTACTCGTCCCGATTACGGCTAAACATTTGACAACTTCAGAGTCAGCAGAACAAATATCCATTGGTGACGCAGTCAGTGAACTATCGCCTATACGGGCGAACTCTGTTAGAACAGAACGTTCGATTGTCACTGGGGTGAACCCCTCTTTGCTGGTTTATGACCCTCGTGAAGCACTAGAATCCTCCGTCACCGAAAACTCAATTTTGCCTGAATCACCGCTGGATCATCTCTCATCTACATTATCATCATCGTTATCATTACCACCGTCGGCAGAGAACACAGCCTCTCCCCTTGTAGGATCGTCTACAACAGAAATCGTAACGCCATTTCCTTTACTTTTATTACCAGCTCGTTCCTCTACTTTTCCCCCTCCTCCGCCTTTGCCTTTTCCTCGCCCTCTTTTGCCAGCAAGTACTAGTGCCGTATCCCCGCCAGCACCACCTTTTTCGCCACCGTCGCCAGGAAGTGCTATAGGTTTGCCGCCACCGCCTCCGCCTCCTCCTCCTCCTCCTCCTCCGCCTCCGCCTCCGCCTCCGCCTCCACCTCCGCCTCCGCCTCCGCCTCCGCCCCCGCTTCCTCCCCCTCCTCCGCCACCGGCCCCGTCAGGTGGAGGCCCCCTACCACCTTTATCCCCTCCACCACTCCCATCAGGTGGATGCCCGCCACTGCCTCCACCCACGCCAGGAAAGAAAGGTGGGTCTGCCGCACCTACACCGCCACCTCCTCCACCCCCAGCCAGCGGCATCTGTAGTTTGCAGACTATAACTTGTCAAATAATCAGCCAACACCAAGCAGAGGTCTGCGGGTCAGCATCAGCCGTGCAGCCTTCTTTCTTCGCTACTCTTCCTAAGCCCGGAAGCAAAATGAAGACTTTTAACTGGACTAAGCTTCCAGAAAGGATGATCATGAACCGTAAGTACAAAATAACCAAACAACTGCTGCTGCGAGAATGACATGTGTGCGTTTCTTTGTCAATCCTTTCGTTTCATTTCAACGTTAAAAAATATGAAGCTTTTACTAGTTATATGGTTCAGCCAAAGTCGATAGCCGATACAAGCTCAGTTAAGGGATTATAAGAACGTAAGAAACTTTTAGATAAACGATAAAATGTCGCTGGTGAGTGTTAGTCTCTCAGAACTAAAATCATCTGTGACGACTACTTTAATAACTGTCTTTTTTTAATGACTCGTTAGAGCCTGAAAATATCTGGAAAGAGATATTGGAACAAGGTGACATGGTTGTAGGAAAACTGAATTTCAAGCGAATGGAAGAGCTGTTTTGTCAAAAGGTACCTGCGCCACAAGGACCTAGGAAGGAGGTGGACAAGAAATCAAAAGAACCTGTTGCTGTATGTATACCCTATTCTGAACTTGCTGTTATATACACGCAAACATATTATGCTGTCTGGATGCACTTTGTTGTCTAGCAAGCGTGCAATAGGCGAGCCGATAAATGTCGCATAGAAAAAGAAAAAGGTCTTTTTTTGCCGTACCCTTGTTGAATTGGCTCAATTCAAGTGTCGTCTTGTTACGGGCTTTCTTGAACAGGTCACTCTTTTGGACGGCAAACGTAGCATGAATGTAAGCATCGCCCTCCATCAACTGAAAATGTCCCCGAAAGAGATAGTAAACATGCTCAAAGAATGTCGAGGTGCAGAGTTAGGAGCTGAGAAGCTACGAATGCTTTTGAAAGCGCTCCCTGAGTCCGACGAGGTACACCTTACTTCTGTTCTTCAAATCTATAGCGTTCTTGAAACGTGCTCTATTTTTTTTATTTCCTATATGTTTCTCTCATAATACGCTTATAATACGTATAGTAGACTTTATTGTGTAGGCGGCTGACATTTCTTATATATTTCAAAAGTTTAAGCTTGACTTTGTATGTTTATTGCTTTTAAAGATTCTCATCTCAGATATGCAGGCGTACTATTTAATGCATGTGCCATAGAACTAAAAGTTTCCACGGAAACTTATAATTATAAACAAACACCTCAAATGTCGTAAACTCAAATGTTTAGAAAACATATTGGAAATGTTACAGTTATCGGTGGTGAAAAGCTACACCGGGGACCCGACAAAGCTGGGCATTCCAGAACAGTTTTATCTGGAACTTACAGAGCTTGAACAATTTTCACTTTACGTTACAAACTTACTGCATATCGAAGAATTCTTACCGAATGTTGAATCCCTGGAACCTCAATTAATAAGGTGAGCCGGCACGAGTTCATTTAATATGATAACTACAAGAATCGTGAGTGGTACAATGTGCCAATGCAAGAATTAAAGTTTCTATGCGGATCATCTACTAATTATAAACGAAATCTTACAATAATCGAAATTTTAATATCACAGTTAGTTAAGTTATCGTTCTCTTATTTTAGATACTCTCAAATCTGCCGCACCATTCTTGAGAGCAAAAAATTGCAGGATTTTTTCGGTCTCATCTTGGCAGCTGGAAATTTCATTAACTGCGTAAGTGGACTAATTCAAACTTCGCACAAAATAGGATGCAAGATAGCTCAATACTCCCAAAAAAACACGGGGTTACAAACTATTATGTTATTGTAGCTTATGTCTGTTCCCTTATACTGACCTTTTAAAACTGACGTCGGTCAGTATGAACAGTTATTTTTATATTTTATATATAGACATGAATATTTCCGTAAAAGGTAATTTTGTTGCGTCAAAATAAAAAGTAAGCTTCGACGATTATAACCCTATTAGTAAGCTACTTAGGATTATCGATAAGTCCTAAGCAAGAAAGGTGTACACATATTGCCACTAAACTGACAATACGATCCTCCAGAATTTTCCTAATGCGTAAATAATTAAATAAATATATTATTTATAGCTAAGCAAATGCAAAATTAGAACATTTACGATTGCGATTACTGGGAAGCATTTTTTTCCTCGTGCACACTTAGCGTCCAACCGGTCTACGAAGTACAATGCTGTGCTTAGTGTATGGATTTGCTTCTATACAGGGTAGCTACGCTGGTAATGCGAGCGGTTTCCGCTTGAACACCCTTAGTCGTCTTCTGGACACCAGGGCGAACAAACCTGGTACAACGCTGTTACATTTTCTGGTCGAAGAAGCAGAAAATAGGTTTGTAGTTATTTAAAAAATAATTTAAAAAATATTTGTATCAGAAATATAATAAGTAGTTAGCAGCTAGTGAATAGAAGTAAAGGTGTGGCAATAGTTTAACTGTAAATAACGAATCTATCAATTTATTCTAATTAAGATACCGTTTATGTATTAAGCTAGTGATTATAATAAATACTAGTTAGGCACCATTCTCGATATATCGAGTAACGTATAGCTGTTATACTTTTCTCGAAGGGAGGATGACGCCTTCTCATTTCTTAACGAACTTTCGGGGGTGGGTCCAGCGGCGAGGCTATCACTGGACACTGCTCGATCAGAGATTGTGACTTTGAGAAATTGTTTAAACAAGATGAAATCTATGGGGGAAAACCCCACAACGGCGCAGGTTTTGAAAAATCATCTTTCGTCATTTGTTCAGGTACGCTTTGCTATGTGATAACAGTTGGTTAGTTCATCATCTTTGCACATCTATACAACTTTCTAACTGCCCAATATTAACATATTTCGTAAGAATTATATCTTATTGAATGGGCCATTGTACACTACAATAGATGATCGAATAATATTGCATCAGCTGTACTTGCACATCTATCTTGAGTGATTTGCCTATTGACCTTAGGAGCATATAAGAACAAAAAAATTCAACAAAAGTTGCGAAATCAAGTATGGCCATCTTTCCACCCAGCATATTCTACGCTGATTTATCTAACTTAACTAACACAGAATTTAATTTTTCTCGTAATTGTTTTAGTCGGCACAACCCAGGGTTGCGGGCTTGGAGTCGATCATGCGTGACGTCGACGTACTGGCTGCAAAGGTCGCCACTCACTTCTGTGAGGACCCTGCTCAATTCAATATCGAGGAATGTGTTCAACTCTTTGCTACGTTTTGTTCTCGAATACGTACAGCTTCCAAGGTTAAGCCTCATTTCTATACATACTAGAAGAGAGGATAGAAAGAATTGCAGAAAGCAGCACAAGGTGACAAAATGATTGAAAATAACAGATTTTGGCCAACTCAGATTTGTCCAAAGTAGAGACACATTCTTATATTCGAATATAGCTGAAATGATTAACTAAAACAGTACTAAAACTACACTACAAGGCTTAGAAGTAGAAGCAATACACAGTACTAAAAACAACTCAACAACATTGACGCCTCCATAAGCAAGATTGAACCCCGTACGTCTACATTGTGGGCTAAAAACGCGTTTTGTATCTTTTAGGAAAATATGGAGCGTAAAAAAGTTGAGGAGCGTGCCGAAAGGATTCGAAAATCCAAGGAGCTTGCCATCAGAGAGGGTAAAGTGAAACCTGGCAGAGGTAAAAACATAGTTTTATTTTTATTTATTATTAACCTGCAATAGATGGATAGTTTGTAAAATGTGTTGTTTTTGAGATTCACTGCAATGTTACCTGTTTGAATTACTGCCAATACATAATGGTGGCAGGTTTGACACATTACGCTGCTGGGTATTCTAGTACGCCATGGATGGCGCACAATTTAGGGGCAGAAACCGTAAGTTATTTTAATACAGTACAATATATATTCAAAGGGTATCTATCGTAGTCGTTGAAGGCAGTAAAATTGGCTGTCATTGATCGGGGTTGCACGAAAGCATAACTCTGACTCATTTTGTCTTAGAAGTCTTGCTTTTTGGCGCACCCGTTCTTCGTAACATGTTACCGATGACAATTAGGGAATTAAAGGAATAGTCTTTCACAGTGTGACGTACTGTACGAATCATGAAATTAAAAACAGAGCACGAATTTTGTGCTTTGAACTTCGATGCTTGCTTTGATTCATTGGAGATTATTTCCGTTTCGTTCTGCTAGAAAATGATAGTACAATTGAAAAAACTCGTGGCTAGACCTCGTTTACAAAAGACGCGAACCTCTAACACACGTATGCAGATTCCTTGGGGTGGTCATGTATTTAGAAAGTTTTCTTACTAAAAGATCAGTTTACGCGGTAAACTTTTTCACTCCGATAAAAGGCCGGCACCGATATCGGATGCCGCGCTCTCTGCCCGGGTCTACTATAGAAACGGGAAGCGTTGAGCCTGACGACCCGATACATCATCTTGAGGACCTTGGACCAGAGTCTCTCGAATTACTCCTCTCCGTGCTCGAATCCTCAGATGACTTCTGAATAATAAATATTAGCTGTAATCACACTTCATTGTCGAGTATGTCCCACAAACAGGAGCACGGACGCAACACTGAAAGTCACCTTACTGTATTAAAATATGGTGAGTTTGTTTTTGGTACAGCTAAGCACCGTGCAGCTTGAAAAACCACTTTTGCAAAGTTCGGACTGTCCTTTTAACACCACTCCGGACGGGATTGCCCTCTGTTTCGTTCAACAAACACACTATTTCACGTGGAGCCAGCCCTCGTCGGACAAAATTCACTGCGTCTATATTGCAAACATATAAACGCAAAATTAACTGTCGATCTGTTTTTTTGCACGGCACCTTAAAAGTTCCACAGTTCAACTGACACATTATAAAGTTAACATCACATGGGCTAATTAGCATGTAAAATTCATAACAGACGCAGATCCGTGTAGCCAGTTGCATGTCTGTTCTACTCTAATGATGTGAACCGTTTGGTGAAAACGCGAGGTACTGCATATTTTGATCGCACAAATCTACCAATGCGTTACGGCTGTCAGCCGTAATAATACATTATTATTAGTATTAGCTTTTTATATTTGGGACAAATATGGAGATAGGTAATAGAAAGCTCAAATAGTTAACAACTGCTAAGCGAATGCTATATTACAAAGGTAAATGAGTTTGATTGAAATGAGTAGAATCCAACTAGAAACATCCAAGCATTTTGCAAAAATATAGCAAGGTACTGCACGGTATAGGTTGTTCTTATCGTTAAGGGCATCGAAAATAAGTGTCTTCAATGCATCCATTAGAATTTATATTGGTTGTTAGTCACAGTTGGTAGTACACATGCCTTACGAAGTTCCACCTAAAAGTAAATATCGTATTAAGGTGTGTTCTGTATATCTAATGTAGTCCAAGGTTTTCCCTGACTAAAATGCCTTTCACGCTTCAGGTTAACACAGTATCAATTAAAGGAAACTACATCAGGACGATTAATTAAAGTCAGCATCGTATAGCCTTGCAGAGAAGCATTTTTATTTTAAAGTAAACACTGCCTTGCGCTTGTGGATAAAACAAAAGGCTTACTTCTAGAACGACCTTGTCCACAGGCCCATATGAAAAAATGACAGTACGGATATTAATAACTGTACAGTTATTAAGTATATATAAAGTTCCTCTTTGCTTGCTCATTGCATCACAATGTATGTGCTGTCTACAAGCAAATACACAATGCTCCAGCAGCATATATAAACAGAGATGCGTGTCCCTGCGTTGCTTACGATAAAAAGTCTCGACGAACAATGACAAGTTGCCGCTTTCAATTTCCAGCACTAAGTTCCAGTTCCGATGAGAGAAACTGCGCGGTCGAAAATCTTCTTGAAGAAATCCGTCGAGGCGATTTCAAGCTGAGGAAGACCATTAACGTATAGTGATCATGATCCTTAATCCGATACCATTTGTGTAACCTGTTCCTAAGAATAACCAAACTATAAACTATGGGCTGACATCCGCTTCTGTTATCAATAAAATACATACGGTAAGATTGATCCAATAATTGATGTAACTTATATTGCGTTGATCAACTAGTAGTACTATAAGATGTTCAGAAAGCTTTACAGCCCTATGATGCTCAAAAATTACATTGCGTTGCATAAAATTTCAAATACTATATGATACCTCTCTTTAGTAAAACTAGAATACAAGAGGTAGCGTCTAAATGAAAAAAATCATTCTGCGGATATTTAAATTGTATATATTTTACTATAATGTAGTAAAAGATATTGAAATAGAACGACATCGAAGCGAAAAATCGCGCCAGCGTTATTATTATTAATATATCACAAATATATTTACAGTGACTCGCATGGATAATACTTTTGTCACGTACACACATGGAGTATATTTACAAGTATGCATTCAAATTAATTTGTAAATTTTCCCAGTCTGTATCTGCAAGCAATGTGGCCCGCTTAGACCAGATGTTTGCCATTACCCGCGATGGTCAGTTCGTTTTATGGGGTGACAGGTGCTATGGGGATTTATGATTTTTATCAGGGGGTATTGTCCAACTCAACAACCTGCGGTTGATCTTCTTCTGGTTCTTGGTCAAAGTCCCATTTAAAAGTGCGTGTAAGGTAAACCCGAAATCGGTTAGCTTTATTTCTTAATGGTCCGCTAGGTGGCGCGGATTCAGCAATGTTTCTGAAGAAATTGCTCAAACAGACAACCAAAAAATTCTCCCTGAAAAAATCATATAGAAGGCGGCAGTGAGTGTCAAGAAAGATAACTATATTACAACACAGATATGCCAATTTTGTCGACAGTAATAACTATATTTTCGTTCTGATGAAAGCTGATATTTTAAAATTTCCAGATATACTATTCCTTAAAAAATCTCAACAGTCAATTGTTTCGCAACCTATATTTGCCTGTTAATTTTGCAAACGCAAAAAAATCAATAATAGTTCTTAAAGCAATTGGATAAAAGAATCAACTAGCTTAGATGTTAGTTCAATGATTTTACCTAGACACAATATCCATGAAAAGATCCGAAGGCACCTCCTTCAGCTGAAAGTGCAATAACGAGATAATGGCTAGGAATAGTGACTCCATTTGTTGGCGTGATATACAGCTCTCGGCTGAGCAAATCACGGCTAATAAACGCTTCCATTGTTCAAAACCTTCAAACAGCTGGCCACACAGAAACGTCACGAAAGCCATTTGTATCTCGCCTAAAATCATCGGAATCAATGTAGTAATCTGAGTTTATTGATTCAGACGTGTTGTTAAAAACAAAAATTAACTTCTCAATGATTTCTTAAATAAAAAAGTATATTTTGTTATTTATATTTAAGCAACCTCCATTTTTATAACTGCTTTACCAAGCAAGTCGTTATTTCCGCCGTGACGCTTAAGGAGTTGGTCGAGAACGTAGCTTCCATCCATGCTACAACGAGTAACTTCTGACGCTGACGATCCTGAAGGATGCCAACGTTTCGGAATACTGAAAACAGAAAAAATTCAATAAATCAAATGAGTATCTTAAATGTGATATACTATTCATTTTATAGCGATATATCTTCAATTCGAAAAATAACTTATAAAACTGTGCGCGGATTCGCCGGAGCATATTTTTTGCTTATTATAACTATTATTTTCATTTACTTCTCTTCTATTTTTGTATTGTGTAACAAATCTTTGATATATATGTGGGGTTTCCTTCAAGATACATAACATCGTTTAAGTATAAATTGTGTGCATTATGTTGATTGTTCTAATAAAATAGCGCCGAATACTGTCAGACAACAAATGTCTCATTTTATATTGTCTATATAGCTTTCATTGGCTTACTTAGCAATCCATCAACAAATAATTTGCGACCAGCCTCAGAAACTGCGTCTTCTATATCAATATGAGAGTTAAAACATCGTTACGACGAATACATACGGGGTAAAACGCATTTTTGTCGCCTCCATCTCTATGAGGTTCGGCATCTTACAGGCTCTTGTATCCGTGCCGCTCTTTGTTGGCAGATACTTGGCAGGCTCGAATTGCTGAACCTAAAGTTTTTTTTTTTGTAAAGCCAAGTGAAAAAATTCGGTTATTTAAAAAAATGTTCTTCCATACGTTTTAATTTTTAGGGTAAACTTCCTTAATGTACAAAATAACTTCGAGCTCACGATTACTATCGGATTTCTCAAGTTAGCTTCGTTCGAACTATATCTGCTAAGACAGACAAAGGATTACTCGGTGTCGCACGATACTGACAACTTGATCGGCAATGAGTCATTGTTGTCGTCATTCAGAAAAATTTGTCTTCAATTGCAGCAGAATGAGACTGTGTTTTTCATAAACTAAAACACCTCAGTCCATCTGACTAACCGAAAAAATCAATCCGCCAGGTGGCTCCAGTTTTTCGATCAGCTGTTTACTAATTCGATCGCTCAAAGCCGTCCACTGCCTAAGGGTCTCGAACGGATACGGCCCAAGAAAGCGATCCAATTTCCGAAGGTTCAACGCTAAACATGCCAATTCATCATCTGTTACCTAACGAAAATTTTAGAAAAATAAGCCGGTTATTATTTACTTGGCCAATATTTGAATAGTGTCATATTAATTACAATGGAAAAAACATTTCAATTCGAACGTAGGCGATTTCGCAGTAATCTTCGTTTTCGTGTCGATAGACTATTTAGTAGAGTATACAATACGGATAAATTATGTAAATTTCGCATTAGTTGCAGAAAATTAACGTTATTAGCGAATCACATTGATCTTACTGCGTATTGTCATACTCGCGCGCCTGTACCTTAACGATTATCTCCTCTTTCGTGTCCCATCTAAATGCAAGTATTGTCTTCTCCACAAAGTTATGGAAAAATCCTGTTCTTGGTGCCACAATATCTTTATTGACATAGCTGAAATACAAAAAAAAAGTCAGCAAGCATATCGATACGGTGTTAGATATTATATTTCAACTATGTTGCGATATGTGCGCATTGGCTATGGGTTGCGAAAAATTTCAGTCCGTTAACTCCCAAATTTACTGCTAACTGTACTTGAGACTTCAACGAACTCTATGTGTACGGATATTTTTCTTTAATAATAATAATAACAGGTATAAAATGGTTAGGGCTAGGAAGTTGGTTCAGCTGATATTAAGTAATTTAAAGTAACTTAAGCGAATACGTGTGTTAAAGAGAAAAAAAAGAGAACAACGTATGGTGAACAGCAACGAGCATAGTTACAGATTGGCCGAAATGCAAACATTAAGCAATCATAGACTAGCTGAAAACTCTAAGGATCCTTTCTGTCATGACCTGTGACAAATCTTCAAAAATTTTCGTAAGTGTAAAATCTACAACGCGAACAGATTTAAACAACTTAATTCTTTCATTTGACCAACATACATCTAATATGCAATTCCACCAACGAAAAGTGCATACAAGATATATATATATATATGTACGCTCTTTCTCTTCTAGGTGTCTACTATGTTTATTTTCGGTAAATCGTCTAATGCTCTATTGAATACACAAAGAAATGCATTACATTTACTATTTTCCAAAGCCTCAATAACATAACAGATTCATAGATGGCAATTTTGCATTTATATCATTTTAAAAAATAAATTCAATTTACCTAGTAATCGGTCTGTTGCTACGATAATACATTTTGCACTAATCTGTTGATATAGGACAAAACGTAGATTCATCCAAAATATTTAATACCTGAGTAAGTACGCAACATCTATACTGGCTCAGTAAGAGACGATTTCAGATTTGTAAAATTATATGATTAATTAATTATGCTATCTATTAAGGCATAAAACGTATCTGAAAATATAAAGAAGGACGTTTCAGCCTATAAATTGAGATTTTAACTTAAAGAAGCCTTTTGGCCGTTAGGCGTCTGCAATTGCTAAAAAAATCTTGTCTGAAGCACCTTGAAGGCACACACATATATAACACATGAAAAAAGGCTAGCCACATTATAAAGTGAAACTTTCGAAGGTCTACTAGAACTAAATGAACGTTTTAATTTAGACACAGAAAACAAATGGAGAATAACTAAGGGTATAAAAATATCCTTCACGAGGCTTGTGAACAAATACTAGGTTTTGATTTGATTTAAAGGTAATATCAATTGTGAACCGTTACATGAACACGCTCATTACTCGAGCGTTCATTACTCTTAGGATGGTGATAAAAATTTCTCGTTTGCTACTTAGTCATAATAGCGTTAGGGAGCTACGTGAAAATGTTCTAAAGACTAGAACGTAAACTAACTTAGGGTTAATAAGACGTAATAAGTGACATCATCTACTAACCTGTAATAGACATAATGTATTCCTGGTGGTATCATCTTTATTCCACGGAACTTTTCACCTATTTCCCATTGCTTCATGTCAATTCCTGACAAAAATATAGAACCAAATTTCAAGGTTAGCTTTCAAATCATATGCTTGTGCGACATGGATACATTGCCATCACTCCATGGTATATTATATCAAAAATCAAAAAAGAATTAATATCGAGTTCCCAAAAATTTCAATTAAAATTTATTAACCATAAGCTTCCAAAATATAATTACCAAATTCGGAGCCAACAGGTAGATCTAGGATAACAAGGGTGGCACCGGTCTCTGCCAGTTTCTTGATAAGTTCTGGATCCTGTGACCGTAGATGGTCCTCTGTTTCCAACGACATTTTTGCGGCGTCTTTTGTACCTCGACTAACACTTAGCTCTCAGTGCGGTTTATGACAGATTGCGATGTTTATAAACAAAGACAAGAACAAAGAATTTGAATATTAAATTTTTTGTTTTTCGATAGGTGCAATTTGCTTCTATGACGGACAGACTAATCCAGTAAGTATCAGCTGATTGCTTCACAGCAATTACTTCTATCTTTAAAGTCTGCAAGCCAGCTTGTAATAGTAGACCCTAACAGATTCTCGCATAACTTTGCTTAACCACACTTGTGGGTAATATTACGGCTTAAATACATCGAATAACTTTGTGAGCCTGGTACGTGTGTGGTACGTTTTACCAAAACATTACCCTCGCCGTCCAAATGGGGCGCTGAATTTCAATTCTGCTTGGAAATCCTAGCCGAATCCCTTAATGCGACGAAGTATATAGAGCATGAATGGTCATATATTAAAAAAAAAATTGTATGTTAAAAGTAGTATTATGAACTTTATGTATATTGGTATTTATGTATACTGGTAGGTTTATGTATACTGGTAAATACATTTAGCAGGATAAGGTTCCAACACTAGTTTAGATCGCAAGTTTTGGAAGCAAATTTTCTTAATTAAATAACTTTCTATATAATTATGGCTTAGACAATGTTAGACATCTTGCTAATTTTTATTAAGTTATTAAGTTAAAAGCATAACTTAATGTTGATTGCCGCCTAGATTTTATGCTGAAAAGCAAATAACCGCAGAATTATGGAAGTGAATTTTTTCTTCTATTTTTTATTTCGTGAGTGATCTGAATAGTGATGTAGAAACAGGTGCTAACACAAATCTCAATAGGATAAGTACAGAGTAAAAATTCTCTTAAATGGCATATGTTAGTTCACTAGCACAATTAACAATAGAAAAGCGGAGAAAGCAGTTTGACTGCACTTTAATGTGTCGTGCGGTAGCCACCGATATTCATTTATTTAATAATTAGTAACCTGCTGCATATTTTACACATTTGTTTGTTTAATTGCTCCGCGTTCGAGTTCTGTTCCAATATGTTATATAAAAAATCTGGGTCGGGGGGTCTGTGATAAGTTCTACAATTGTGATAAGTTCTATAACTGTGGTGGGTTCTATAGCCGTGAATGACGTTGTGTCAACTGTTAAAAACCAATAGAAATGAGATAGCGATCGAAGCCGTTTTCCTACACTTTTAAGTACTTGAGCGTTGTTTATATGACGTAAAAAAAGTATTTCTCCTCTTTCGATTAATTCTAGTCCCTTGAATAGATTCTTAAATATATTCGAGTACATTTATCGCTGCACGTTTAGGGCTAGCATCGCAACGAAAAATGAGTGGTTCGCTTTATCTACCATATGACCCGAACGCCTATGCATGGAAAAATGTTCTTCATTGTATCGTGCGTTCATTGTCATGCAATTTTATAGCCACATTATTTTTTGTTTATGTTTTGTGCGCTCCTTTTCAATATAGATACACCATAATTATTGTAAACTCAGCTGGCTAGCAGTTATGGGATAACAGTTTCTCTTGGTGCTTTGTGAATCTTAGTCCGAAAGGTTGTATTCCTGTGATAGTTTTCCATGGTCTAAGCCCTTATTTACGTGGCGCAATTACTTTTGTGATCAACCGAGATAGTCACCTTTGTATCAGCAGCAGCTCCGCCCTTTTATTAGAAGATTAAGCCTATGCATTATATGTGCCTGATTATACTGAAACTTAAGCTTAAATGAAAGTATGTTCGTCTTTTACCAATATTAAAAATACAGCAGGTTACCTCGAAGGCTCCCTGTAACTCTCTAATTGTTGCACCAGCAATAAGGAGCATTGTCAATACTACATTACGGGTACTGTAAGGATACTAAAATTTGTTATTATTGGATTATACTCGGAAAGAATCGCATGCGGATTTTTTGTATACTGGCAAATCAAAAGCAACTAGATAGTTCTGCACTAACTCTGGTGAATAGACCATCATCAACTTCGATAGCCTTAAAAGAATAGGTTCCTGTAAACGCAGTTAGAACATTTATGCCTCCGCGATATTTGTATTATAATAAGCAACACTTGATTATTATAACCACGGCCTTACTAAAACTGGCAAGACGTTGATCGTTTATGCTTACTGCGAAAAGACGTATACGCATGTGTACTGTTTGCCTGTATTTTTACAACGGAATGTTTTATTTCTTAGTTCTACTCATGTTCAAAGTAGAGAAGTTTTCGAAAAAGATGTCATTGTAAAACACTTTTCAATGAAACATTACTTGTTATGATAAGTCGTCGTTTTGCTCTAACTCTTACTATCTGAGTGTATTGCAGTATGCCATTAGTTGAAGACGATTTGTGCATATTTAACAGATGATATATTGTCATCATCTGATTGGATCAGCTTCGTTTTATCTGCCCTTGAGGATTAGTGAAACGATGAAACTTTCATGGCGTCATACGCGGTCGTTTCTATCACAGTGACGCTTAATTAGTAAAACTGTAACTAAAAATTCACGCTGCTTTTTAGTCCTCAAGTTAAAAGTTGACCAATGCAAAGAATACTGCTTGTTCCATTTCTGTTATCTCATGGATTATTCCTTGAAAATCGCTTTGTTGCAAACGATATGTATTAGAGATATTTCAATATGAGTTTTCACAAACATTTTAATTTGATTTTAAGAAACTTCAAAATATTACCCTGTTTGAATGTACAGATCATCTGTACATTCAACCATCGAAGATCAACTGTAAATATCATTATTGATGTTACATTTTTATCACCTAAGTAACCAAGAATCAAAATATGAAACACTTCTATGTCGCAATAAAAACAATCTATTTATTAATTTTATTTAATATGACACTTGGTTACGCAGCAAGTTGCTCTTAATGACTGTTCCAACCTATACTACTTAACGCAGCATTTGTGCATTGCAGCATTTACAATATTTGGGATGATGGAAAGACGTCTGATGCACGTTTTTGCTGATGATACAAAGCTTACTGAGCTGGATGCGTTGACGTTACAGAACGGCCTGGGTTTGCAGCATAAACTATGCATTCATCGTCTGGCTGGGCACTAATGGAGTGAAGAAAATAGATAAGTTACAGTATTTTTAAAATATGCCTTTTTGAGAAGATTTATTATAGGAAACTTCAGTTTTGAAGTTTCAGGTATGACGTTTTAAATGAGACGAAAATCAAACCGTGGTTATGCTCGTACACTTACCTACACTAATATGCCGTCAGTCTAAGCGTCTGATTTTTTTTTATCTGCATACTTTTTCTGTGCAGAAAGGAAACATCTTATAGAAAAATTGCTTAGAAAACGCTGGGAAGTGTCAGGTGTTGCAAAAAAAATAGGGCAAATAGTCGCAAAGTCCTCGTTTTTGGAATTGGTTTTTGTTCATGACTTCAGTAGCATGTTCGATATTCCGCACGATGAAGTACCGAGCATGTAACATTGTGAATGTGTCTTTGTGAATAAATTCAGCGTTTCATGGTAAGGCCATCCGAAAAGTTTCGGTCAGAGAGTGCGTTAATCTTCGTTCTTTTCCATCCTTTTCTGTCATCGTAATCGAACTGTAGGGAAGTCATCTGACTGAAAAGCACCGCTTTCTTAAGCATGATATATAGTGTTACACCATTACATTTCGAAGCAATTACAGGCAACATCGCTTCATGTATTTCTAAGAACTCACATATAGCGTCAAATTCTATTCATTTCGTTTCCGGATACTATTACTGTGTGAACCAATCCTCGTAATCGCCTCTTCGGTATCGCATCAAGACTTGCCCCGAATAGAAGCTCTAGCCGGGGTGGGTCCTGCTGGACTTTCTGGATATTTGTCCAACAGACCTATCAAATGACATTGCTAACTATATATCACCGAAGCCGTAACTATTTGCCAACGCTCAGATCTGCATCCGCAATGGTCGCATTCTCTTCATTATTATCGCAAGGCACTCAAAGGAGTGTGCATTTACCACTCAGCTCATGCTGTCTCCAGCTCGTTTAGGCTAGAAATCTTTAAATACTAGAGAAAACCTGACGCCAGAATTAGTACTTATAAGCTTTGTAAAAAATTGCCTATGCAAATAGTATATATTATAACCTTGAATCTTCTTTAGGCTTTGTAAGTGCAGAACTCTAAAAGGTGATCCTTTTACACTGGAAAAGGTAAGCAGCTTGAGATTTTGAAAGTTATTTATTCAGTCCTTTGAAAGCAGGTCATTTGATAAGCACGAGGATGCCAAACGGAGCTTAATAAATTATATAAACCCGCTGTTCTCTAATATATCTTTTATCCAGTTGATTTATTTCGTTCGTTTGTTCAAAACCGGCATTCTGGATCACTCGAAATTGAAGATAGAAAACTGGGGCTTTTTTTAGGGCTTCGTGAAAATGGAAGAGTAAGTAGAACAGTGAATTGCCGATTGTGTGAAGAGCCTACACTTTATTTCCACGATTGCTAAGCAGTTGAATCCTTCATTTATTTACGATGTAGGGCTTAAATTGCAAATGTTTTTAGAGAATTCCAATATTATCTTTCCGTAGCGGCTTATCTAGCTCATTATATTGGCTCGTGTTATATAGCAAATTGGGTCCTCGCCAGTAGCAAAAAGACATGGAATATTATCCTTACAGTCGGTTCGATAAATACTCTCGATGGTCATTTGAAGGCTGGTCAGCTGCGAGCAACCCAGAAAAACTGGCCATTCTAGCTATGCTAGTTGATAGTGCTTTTGATCTTATTCGTAATTATCTGCCGTGATCAAGAATGTTCGGCGCAGCCTGTTTCCTTTTATTAGATATCACCTCGCTTGACGTCGTTGCTTTGGCAAAATGTCTGTCTCGGAAGTAATACGTCTGGTTGTAAACTGCGCGTTCTTGTTTCTTTTGTATGAAATAATTTCTCGAGTACAAACTGTGACTCTGGATTACCTCATTTCACCAAACCATTCAGTAACCGTTTATGCCATGGTGTTTATATGCCATTTTTTTTGTAAATTTGTATATGTTTGAGAAAGCCTATGCGAACTATAATTGTATAAAATGTGTTGCGTTTAGTTTCATGCAGTAACGATTAAAAATTTGTATCTACTACGCTGGATCGTGCAGAAAGTTCAGACGACGTGAACGAAATCCTAGGGATGAATCGGCACTTCGTGGATTATGCTATAGTCCCAAGGCATTTAATCATTAAAGTCGACGAATTGTTGTCGACGAAGGGATAAACCCTTGGAAGAAAAATCTGATGGAACTTTTAACTTAGACTAAGATGTTACAAGTCATTTAATATGAAAGGCAGCTGGATCTTCCATTTTGTAGGTTAGTTACCTTGACATCCATGCAGTTGTGCTTTTGTTTAACCTGTGTATATTATAATAGCTCGAATTAACACATACCGGTATGATTACATTAACGTCTGTAAGTTAAGCCCCATGACTGTTACTAACCATTGCCTCAGATATGAGCATACTGTGCAGTGGAGATTAAGTTAATGTTTAGCACAGACACAGTAATGAATTCATGAACGTTCGAACACAGATTTCAGTGCCAAGATCTTAGAGAGCAAAGCCGCGTTAGGGAAGCTTCTGTTGCTTCCGATTCATGTTTACAAGTGAGTAGGGCATGAAAGTATCGTAAGTTTTGCGCGGCTTTGGTACGACCAGTATTCCAACTCTAGCGCTAAGGCAGCGTCCGGAATTGATTTTCTGATCGCGAAGAAACGGTCTAGCAACATTTTCCTAGACCGTTTATTGACGGACGCTATTTTTGTTCGGTGCTCTAAATTTAAGGTCAGCTTTACAGCTTTTTCGTTTATATCATATACTGAAATCCTTTACTACTTTATTTGAGTGTGATGTGGCACTGATTTTAATTGATATAGTAAGTGGATAAAATTAGAGATCTAATACTAAAGTTTCCCTTTACAAAGCTAACTGGGGCAGGTCTACGAAAATAAAAATCTAAATTGTAGATATTATCACTGCGCACTAGTTTTACGGATGGGTCCTTTGAATTATCGAGATATTAGAGACCCAGTATATATATATAAGCTGTAATCAGCGTAACCTGTACGTTGAATTCCTTTTTTCAAAATTGGTTGGTAGACAAGTAAACCTGCATATAAATATTCTATTTTACATATAAACACTTAGGTATTTCAGATAATTGTAGGAAACTCTTCCAACTTTGGTTGTATAGCTCGTTTAAGGAATTGTATCCATCCTATTTAGTCCTCTCTATCGTTGTATACGGTTGTTTCAATACACGTCAATATTGAAACGACTGTATACTGCTGCCACGACTGTGTATACGACTGTTAATGATGCATTAAGTTTGTATACGGATAGACAGATAGACGTATCATATTTTGTTCACTTCCGCAAGTGTTATAAACGACGAACTACTTATTTCGTATTATCAGGTAGCAAATATTGATCTTTTTCTATTTAAAAATATGTTTACCTCTCAGAACATTTAATTTCGATGGCACTACACAGTGATATTTGTACACATCTGTCTCCGTATTTAAGCAGACGACGTCTCTTCCAGAGTTATTGGCCTAATCCAGGGACGCAAACTTGTGTTTATAACGAAGAACTTTTTTGATTTTTAAGTGCGCTTCCATACATAAATGAGTTCGGGAAAATTCGATAAAATAGATTCTATTAATTATGGCATTCTCTTATACTCTAATAAAAAGAATTTTGTAAGAAACGAGTCGTAGCTCTTCCGTGAAAGCCCATGTAGCGTCCTTGAAAGAATGAATAACACGCGCACCATTTTGGTCTTTCACTGGGTTACTGAATTACAATCTGGAAGAAAATTTTACAATATTGGCATTCTCTTTTTAAAAAACGACATTCGCGACTAAGTTATGGGTGCAAGGTTGCACATTGAAAAGGCTAAGTTTTTTTCACTTGTCTTTCTCAGACTTGAACAAAGTATCGAACTTTATGTTGAGTTGGGATAAGTTGTCTCTTTTAGAATTTAGTTGCAGACATTATGTGTCCTAAGCTTGGTTTTGTCGAAATAGTATAGTTCTTTATTCTAATTCAGCACAAATATAGTACAAGTAAAAGCATATTGACGCTTCATTCATTGTTTCAAATATATGTGTCATTTGGTTAACCAAAACGAGCTTCGCTGCGCCTTCCAAGCGTCGTCTAGGAATTATTAATTTAATTATCAAATTAGTGAATTAACTGCCGTCAGATTTTTTAATAACTTAATTATAATATAATATGTTATATTATATTGTTACATTTTAATTAACAAAATTAATTACAAAATTAATTAATTAATTACAAAATTAGTGAATTAATTGTTCTTGTTTAGAGACGTTTTGTACAGTTTTTCTTACGTTGTTGTAATTACTTAGTATTATTGTATTCACTTCCATAGTTGTTATTTAAATAATCATGTATTTCCTAGTAAATTACAGTCATCCAAACCGTTTAACTGACTTAGATATTTTTAGATGAGAGCCGACAAGACCGCTTTCTTCCTCTCCGTTTTCGTGAGGTTGTTGCGGTATAATCTCACGCCATAGCTTAAAGTACGATCAAATGCGCCGACTTTTTTGTAGAAATCAGTTCCCAGTTTGTTCCATTCTAAAACAGCGAACTGTAACTGCGTGCATCTTTCTTCTAGTCCATGTTGTGCCACGGAACGCCACAAGGTCATACCGATACCTGATTGATGAGATAAGATTAGTTTATTGTGTGTATGAATCTGGCAACAAATTCAAGATGGCGCGCGTCTCTCGCGCAGACAGTGTTTACAAATGAGCTTGACAGAGAACGTCTGTAAATAGCTCGATATGCTTTTTTCGAATTTTATTCGCGAATAGCTTTATATGTCAAATACGTCTTTTCTCATCCAATGAACTGGACTTCGGTACCAATTACTCTATGTATGTAAATTGACGTAGCCTCTCATCAGAGCATTGATTCAGTGGAATTGGAGTGATATCGTTAGTAACTAATTTAGAAGAGTGTACGCTTTGGTATCGAAGGCATTTCTACATATAAAATTGTCTTTTTCAGTCACTTGATCATAGCTGTTTAATCTGCATGAAAGCTAGAACCTAGCTAACTATCTTGTCAAAACGGTTTTCGTCTTCCGTGGATATTTGCCGACGTAACGTAGCGTCAAAGAAAGCTACTGGTTTTATGCGTTCGCACAAAGGCGTTTGTGCAGATGCGAGTACGCCATTGCGCAACACGCTGTGATAGCCACTTGAAAGGGCAGAGCAGGCCGTTAAGCCATCAGCGTCTTCGAAGAGATAGGAAGAAATGCGATTCGCAGACACGTTTTGTCTACCATCTTCTTGTTTGCTGCGTCTATAATACCTACGAGGGGCTCTTTAGGCGTCTTCTTAGCGTTATCGGTAGCCCGAATGCATGAACTACACGAATGCAAAGTAAAGCTGCGGTAAGCAGCAGGGCTGAGACAAACATTCTCTCTCGCCTATCTTAGACCACAAACTCCCGCGTACTTCTTTCGTATCAAAGCACCATCTCAATAGGGTTCTATCATATTGTATCATAACAAGTTCAACGATACTTCATTTATATATATTTACATATGAAGAAAAAATTTAATGACTCTGAACTTAAACTCAGTCCTGTAGCAAAAAAAAAATGTAACAGTTTGCTATTGCGGAAGCAGGATAATATGCGAACCATAATAAAGCTATTAAAGGATTGCTGCAACGTCGAAAAGGACACATTAGTATTTACGAATCATCGTTGTTTGCCACAATGTATACATATATAGCTACCTATGCGCCGAACGGCAGGTCTAACATAGAGGTCTTCCATATACACGGTTCTCTTTCCTTGTAAGTCGTCAAATCGGAAAAAGTACAAAGCGTATCCGACGGTCTCGCGCTCACCGGTTGTGCCCAATAACTTAGCAACTTTGGCTTTTAAACCCCAAGGTTGTTTGTCGGAAAGATCGGCTTTCAACTCCGCTGCAGTTAATTTCACCTGCAATTTACGTAAATAGATCTCAAGGTGTGACTTTATTTCTACACAATATAATATTCTATACAACATCGTACGGCAGTCTATTTAGTTTCTTGATCGATATGTCTACCGTTTATTAGGTTAAACGGTCTTTTTCTCCTTCCTCAAGCTGGCCGGAATTTTTATATACGTATGCGTTCTTAAGGGCCAATTACGCAGAGTTGCTTTATTCTACCAGCAATGACTTCAGAACTGATACCGCACAGACACCCCAATGGCGCCCTAATTCTGAAGCTATGCGGGCATACCCGGTGTCGTTGCTAAACCGGTTAGTCTTTGTACAAGAAGATAGAAACAAAGGACGAACCCTTAGCGTATCGTAGACGTCAAAGGTGTCTACTAACTTATTCGAACATCAACAGGTTCAATGGCTATATTTTCCGTGAGTGAATTTAAATCGGTCGGCCCACGATCCCTAGATTGTGTCGACGAACGTACCCGATTTAATATAACTAAAAAAAGCACTATGTGTTCACTGAAATAACAAAAGACAGACAGATGGACTCTTGCAATGACGTATGGAAAAAATATGTATAGTGTTATAAGGTGATAGTTTAGCATCTTTTCGACAATATTGTATCTAATGAGTGTGAACACAATCTCCTTATTGGGACATAAAGGGGTTTTATTGCCGATACAAATGATTTATCTTTCCTGGTATAAATAGATAGATGGTTCCATGGCCGGCTAAAAATTCTTTCAGACATTTAGAGGAATTATTTATTATACACACTTTTCCTGTAAATTAAATCTAAACTTTGGCAGCGTAATTTTGCGGTACATGTGAGAATACAGGAATATTAGTAAACAAAGGCTTTTCACAAACGTTTTTCCTAAAGCTGCATACTGCATATAAAACGTAGTATTATATAATAAAACTGCAATGTAACGAATAGTAATAGGCATAACTTATTAATATCATTATAAATGAATATGCCCGATTCAAGAAATCTGTGGTCATACCTGGTCAAGCATATTCTCATAAATTGCTAGTTCCTTGATTAGGTCTATAATGGTTCCTGCATCATCAGGTGTTGCATCCTCGATGATTAGGGAACTGTTCGTCGAGCGAGATGCCATCTTAGGGACTATACTGCACACGATTTTCTCAATTCCAATAGCGGTCGTTGCTTCAACAGACGATAATTGCCGCGCTCGTACAAGGACCTGATAGCTAAATAATCAGCCTTTTTTCCTTTATTTGTGGGTTTCCTTTATATGATGCCTGAAAGATTAGACGTTATTTTTTAACACAGTTCTGTCCTCAGCTGGGTTTCTGCATGTGCATCGAGTGCAAAATCTTCGAGGCTAGAACTAGATAATATCCTTTAAGTATTTAACAATGACAACTATGAATCGTCCAATTGATTCGATCGCTCAGAATCAATTCGATGATTGCGCACACTAGCTTAGATAGTTGTATTAAGACACTTTCACGTTTTCACTTTCGTTTATAGTTCCTAAGACGAGAAACGCGCGGGGAAGAACGGAACACTGCGAAAGCAACAGCTCTGTGGCTGTCCTTGTCGAGCTCTTCATTTGTTTAGAATATATCTTAGTGGATCCGTGCGGCAGGCTGTCTCACTCTTTCCTTAGCGAGATGCTAGAGATATTGACTAACGCTCTTGACAACCGCCCATCCAACAATAAGCTAAATGGGCCACAATGCATGATAGTTTGTTGTTTGTTTTTGTTCTTTCTCTTGCTTCTAATTCAGAAGCTTGTGCAGCTCCAGTAATTCTTGGACATGGCCATTTTGTAAGCATTTCACGACCTCATCAACTTACAACATATCAGTATTTACCTTTCAATGTCACTGCACCCCCAAGCAGAATAACTGTGATAAAATCTAAACATAAGACGTATGTCCTTGTCGTGTGACTCGACTAACTAAGCCAACTCTTACTTGTTCCTTAAGTATATAGCGTTCCTGTGGTTTACACCCCCGCAAACGTACTCATGATGCTCAAGTAATTGAAGCATCATCTACTGAAGCTCTCAACTATAGTTACTACCAACGTTAAACTCTGAGCCGGCCACACTGCTACTATCTGCGTGCTACTATGTATAGTGAATATTATGAAGCAATTCATAATATTCACTATGTGGGTTTGGGTCTTTGACGGGGTTACAACGACCAGTAATGTTCTTGTCTAGAGGTATCTGTCGTTTTGTATATTAAAATTGAAATCAGGCGGGTAACGTGTCATTGACTTACAAATCTTATTGCTAAATAAGCTGCATTAAATAAGCTGAATATATAGCAGACGATTAACTTAAATACATTATAAGATGAGTATTAAATCAATAGTGATATCTCGTCAATTGCTGCGCAATATATAATACTCGAAGAAACGATAGAACTTGAACCTTAACTTATCTGAACGGCTCCTGACGAAATGTTTAAGACACTGGGCAAACTAGAAGAAATCGCATTTAAAGGATGTAGTTGAGTGTAGCCCTGCTATTATTCTTTGGAAAAGGGAAATGCCCACTTAAAGCACTAGTATGGGCGTTTCACCCGTTGAAGCCAAAGCTTCTTTCCATGCACCGCCCTTTCGAAAACAGAAAGACGTGGGACCGTTATTTAATCTTACTTCGAAACCTCTCTAATCGAGCCCTGCGGTCGTAGCGTTCTTTAGGCCTATTCCAATTGCGTCCGGCGCCTGCAAAGTCTTTCTGTGGCAGTATATCTGAGGAAAACCTTCTGACGGGAATCAATGAGAAGCGGTCTTTCATAAGGTAGCCTGCCAGATCTTGGCATGAAAGGGAACCGAAGTGATCAAACGGGCCTCTTAGGTGCTAGCATTTGCTCTCGAATACGGCAGGCCGGCCCTCAAAAGGGTGCTGAACGTCGCCATTCTCACCCAGTTTGCATATTCTGCATTTTGTGTTCGAGGTTTTGCCTACACAAAAAATTTATAAGCTTAAAAAAACCATGACCGCTTAGAGGCCTTGAGAGTGATACGTAAAAAACCATGACGTTGCTCATCCCCCAATACCAGACCCGTAGCAAGGACTCGTCTAATACCGGGCTTGTTTTACATATGGAGAGTTCCAACTCTGTAATCAAGCTTCCAATACACACTAGTTGGACTCTTTTCGAGGTAGGGTGCGATATCTGCTGTGCGGCCTGTAAACCCAGCAACTAGGTCCCATAGCAATTACCTCGCTAGCACCTAAACAGCCGCAGTAGCAGCTGACCGGTTTGATCAAGAGATCATTGGGGTTATCGATGAAATCTTTGGGTTTTGTTAGTAGACTTGCGTCTAATAATGTGTGGGTGGTCCCGGAAGTGCCATACGATTAACGTTACATATTTTCTTAGTTAAGACTCTGCTTTACGTAAAACCGATACGCTTTTCGCGCGTTCAAATCATCTAAATTACAAAATTTAAGTTATTCTTAATACCCTATATAGGACTGCATACGTGAAAAAGGGAGTCTGGTTTTAATTTGCGTAATGTAGCCATTAGCTAAATGTCTATTGAAGTTTAAAAAAAGAAGTCTCTATTTGAAGCGAAAGAAGAAGGAAATTATTGACGTACACGTGCTCTCTGTCTACGAGCTCCCCAGAGTTAGTCAGTGCGGTATACCACCTTATTTGTAGGTGTTTAGACTAGAACGAAAGTAAATTTCTATAGCAACCGGGTCGAAGCGAGCTACAGAAACAACACTGCATTAATTCAAAACTATTCGTAATACAATTTGATAAGGGTAAAAATGTATATCAAGAATAATTAAACCATGTGGTCATCAGTGCGGGACATGAGCACTCTTATCCTGCATTGAAGCGACCTTTTGTGACTCTTTATAGTGACCCGTGCACCCCGTTTCAGGAAAATCTTCAATCAAGTATTTGCTGCGTTAGAATATTCTGCCCATATCCTAATTTGTATTTTGTATATTCTGACTTTTGTAGCAAATCGAATAACATGTCGTGGACTTAAAAACTATAGAATGCTGGAAAAACATTTAACATATATACCTTTGGTTAACATCAGCAGCTTACAGTATAAGCATTCCTAGTGGCACTGGTCCTAAAATAGCGTCTAGCTCTTCACAATGTGACTGTCGTATTAGTTTTATGTTCGTTGCAACTGATTAGAGAAGACGGAATCATGAGCCCGGTTTGCAGACGTAGCGTTCACAGCATCTTCAGTGTGAGCTTAGCGATATGAAAGTTAATAAACGTCTAGATTACATAAAAATTTAAATCTCAACTTAAACTGGAGTTAGTTAGCAGTTTGTCCAAGATACGTATGGGAATGGAAATGTGAAGCTAATTATATTAAGCAATTTCAATTGATTTTAATGTTGAATGACTGTTTGTTCCGTGTAAAAAAGACCAATTGTTTCTACAAAGCCACATTTACGCACCTGGCCTTCAATGAAGAACTACTCCGCCGAGAAGATCAATCCAGTTTTCTGACTCGAGCCGAACGAACAAAACACTACATTGAAGTTTTGTTCATAGGGATCAAGGAAGATTGAGGATCAACATTGAAGCTGGCGACTCTTCAAACGTGTCTGTCCGTCTTTCGATACGAAACTCTAACCGAATTAGTAGTTTGCGGCAGTCCCCCTACTATAGACCATTATCATGTTTCTAGAACTAATTCAAAATTTTCAGTTCTCAGATATTTGAAAGCAACTATGGTGCCTTGTACTAGCATTTATTTCGTTGTATAGTTCTTACGCTACAAGCTAGTAGTATAAAAATATATTAACAAGTTTATGTGTCAAAATTATCAAGTGAAGTACTTTTTGGCAGACAGGCATTACAGTAAAAAAAAACAGTAGTAAAATTCTAATTTGATGTCAACATTACTTGAATAATAAATACTATACTGTGTAGGTACTTTCTAGCAGAGCTATGTTCTTCGTAGAAGCGCGTGTGCACCATGCGAGAGAGTCGAACGAGTTAATCTTACCCTAATAATGAAGGCCACCAAAATACATCGAAGCGCGAAGTCGCTACAGGATCCATAAACTCTCTAAATGGAGACAAAGCTATGTAAACACCATCGATCGTATGGACTTCACTGAAAATGACAGTTATCGTTACAACGATTTGTTGATGGAAAAACTCCCCGCACTACCGTCTAGGAGGTCTTCAAAGAGAAGCGATGATGCTGGACAGTGGCGGCCTGTCAGGACTACGAGTAGCGATCACTCGTTGAGACGATGTCTCTACCCTTGACTAGACGCTTGGTCCTTGTAGGCAACTTGCTGGATTGCTCTCCTCTGACTGGCGTCGGTTAAATAGGTTGCCGCTGTCACCGCTATCTCCTGCCATCGGGGCAAACTAGTCCGTCTAAGGTTTCACGACCTGCTGACGGTGGCCCAGAACCTAACTCTATAACCTGGCATCGGGACGCCGACATCTGCAATACACACACATGCACCAGGACAGCCAATTCGCCGCCCGGCTTCAGTCTGCCTTGAAAGATCTTCTCACACATTCGGCCGCTATTCCTTATCATTGGTTAGCTAATCAGTTAGCAAACTAAGCAGCGAGCTGATGGTTGTTGATTGATTGATTGAATCGGTCAGCCCGCCAGTCAACCAATCAGGTACTTCCTAAGCGTTGAGTAAGACGGCCGCCGTGCAGCCAGCGCGCACCTAATATAATCACGGTATTCATCACGGTATAAACGAATCTAGCCTTGCGTTCGACATGTCCTTTAGATAATGAATAGTGTAAACGAATCGAGCACGGCAAAAACGCACGAGTATCGACTGTCATCGCCGTCTGTCGTATGCAGACCTACGAATATATATATATGCACGTGTGGCGATACGAGCATGTGATGTATATTTCGTATGCGATGCCAAATCGTTCTAGTCTTAATTGTACTAATAATATGAAAATATCGATTCTGCGGTGGCCAAGCTGGCTGGGGAATATTTTTTTAAAACGATTTTATCGTTTTCGTTCCGCTATCGTTGAATACTATCGCGCTAGGTGTAAATGGTCAAGTTATACTGACAAAATGACAACTTACAACCTGGTAGATAACTAATAGGCAACTGCTTCTACCGTAAACACGAAGTCCTGTGTGAGAAAAGATAGGGTACGAGAGAAACGGGTACAGTAAGTACATTGAACTTCTTATATTTTAAATGCACATTACTAAGACCCGTATTTAATGGGTGTGGTAGTGTGGGGTCAGCAGCAGGAACATTAAACGTCTACAAAAAACGGTGTTTCTCTCACTATAGTTTTTCTTCTTTTTTTTTTTAATTATAGTTAGTGTTTTATATTGAGTGATTAACACGTGAATGTTCAATAACATTTTTGATTGACGCTCGACGCACACAAGACAAAACACCCCGATACAAATGTCGCTTCGTATCTAGCCCATTAAATTGAGCTTCCAGGCGGTCGAACTTCATCGATCGTCGTCCGGATCCGCGGGATTCCTACGAACGGCACCTATATTAGTTAGCTTGCTGCTAACCTTGTGATTTTCTTCATTTCATGTGCTCCGTTAGACTTAAATCCAGGAGTCGTATCCGTGCCTATGTGTTCATAAGCCGTTTTTTGTTTGAGTGTACGTTTATCTGCCTCCGGAATTATTCGTAAAAATGCTATAAGTTTAGTTGTCCTTAGCGCAAACCAGTATCATAGATAAAACGCTATTATCCTGCTGTGTTAGCTTGTAAGCACTGT